CACACACGCTTCATTGTACATTAAATCAATCGCAACCAACAGTATTGCCTTGTTCGCTTGAACAGCACTCTTGTGATCCCAGGACAATCGATCAAAGGCCCCAAGATGTCTGAGCTGCGTCGCAGTTTCAGCCGACTGTCCATGATCGTCTACCGAGCCACTCATTCCAGCGAACAGTCGTGGCGAGAAGAGCTTCTCAGGTAAATCGCAGGTAGAAAAGATCGATCATCGATCGCCGGTGATCCATCCGGAGGTGATCACTTAAGAGCTTAAATGTGTGGTTTATCAAAGTGAGCGTGAAATTTTGGGAACCATAAGTACGTTTTTCTATAAAAAATCTTTTAGAAAGAGTGTAGTGCTCTTACTAGGTTCGAGGAAATAATAGTAATTTACAATCGTAGTTATAGAATTAATTACAAAAAACTCCAGCTTACATTTCCTATAACAATGTTCTTTGTCAATCTATTCACGATTCCTTACCTACACGATCTTATGTATCGTTCTCTGCAGTCCAAAGATCACTTTCCATAACTTAACATAGTTTTATAATGGTTAACGTTTACCGAGTCACCCTTGAAGTTTATTTAAACAGCTGAACTCGCTGGGATCTCAGTACTATACATAAAAACTTGTGTACAAATGTACATAAGTATATATCTACATCTATAGCGATACTATATATGCATCTGCGCATGTTTAATCGAATACGGCATAAATATTTGCCTCAAAGGCGTTTCCATTTGCTCTTTGGCGATACAGCAACCTCTGCTAAAATATATGCATACAATATCCGTTCTATATATAATACTTTTTGATCAAAGTTTATATAAAACCCAAGAAAGGATGTTTTGTTCTCCTCCAATCTTTTGTGTTTGTTCTTTGGTAAGAACTGTTCACGATGTCGCTGAGTGGCCAAGTGGTCTGTTGACAACTTTTGGCGCATAACATATATGCAGATTCATAATTATTCTCCTCACTTTTGCCAATTTAATTTTAATTTTGGCAAAGCAAAAGAAATGAGGAAATATGCAGGTACAGTACGTTTTGTACAGGTGAATCAGAAGTAAATAAATGCATTGGACTTATCATAACTTACAGTATTTAAAAGGATTACTTGGAAGTATTGAATCATTACTGTTTAAGGTTGATGGGGGTTCCGGAATTAGTTTGAATTCAAGTCGCCTTTCGATTGCGAAACGTACTGTAAAATTGTCTGGCTGTCTCAGCTTGATTTATGGACGGCAATTGCAACACGTTGTCTATAAGTACGATATATAATTATACCCGTTACTCGTAGAGTAAAAGGGTATACTAGATTCGTCAGAAAGTATGTAACAGGCAGAAGGAAGCGTTTCCGACCCCACAAAGTATATATATTCTTGATCAGGATCACTAGCCGAGTCGATCTAGCCATGTCCGTCTGTCCGTCTGTCCGTCTGTCCGTCTGTCCGTCTGTCTGTCCGTCCGGATGAACGCTGAGATCTCGGAAACTATGGGAGCTAGGCTATTGAGATTTGGCGTGCAGATTCCTGAGCTTCTTACGCAGCGCAAGTTTGTTTCGGCACAGTGCCACGCCCACTCTAACGCCCACAAACCGCCCAAAACTGTGGCTCCTACAGTTTTGATGCTAGAATAAAAATTTTAACTGAAATGTATTGTTCTCATCAATACCTATCGATTGACCCAAAAAAAAGTTTGCCACGCCCACTTTAACGCCCACAAACCGCGAAAACCTGTGACGCCCACAATTTTCATGCTAGATAAAAAATTGTAACTGAAATGTATTGGTCTCGTCGATACCTATCGATTGATCCAAAAAAAAATTTGCCACGCCCACTCTAACGCCCATAACGCTTAAATCTGTATACCGCCGGTAGGTGGCGCATTTTAATCTCGCTTTGCTGCTTGCATATCTCCATATAGCTGAGTAACGGGTATCTGATAGTCGAGGTACTCGACTATAGCGTTCTTCCTTGTTTTTAATATGTATGGGGTACCATAAAGTACTCCCCAGAATGCATTTCCTCTGGGCCATAAAAAGATCCGAGCCAGATCAATGACGTCAATGCTGTTGCTACACGACCTCAACCGATCCGTTCTGATTATGATCATGACCATGGTCAACTATTTGCACCTTCGATATATAGATTTGCAATACCAGATGGCCCAATTGCATTAGTCCGTTAAACAATTTGTTGGCCATTAGCCAGGTGATTGAAATGCTATTTGAAAAGCTATTTGAAATACTATTGAAACAACTCAAAGGGGCACCACCTCCAGCCCTCCACTTTTTCCGAGTTCATCTTGTCCAAGGTTAGTTCTGTTTTGAAGTTTTTATATCAATTGCCTTGATTATCTCACAGGCTGAGCTTTAATTGCTGGCCATAACCCAAGGACCGCTTATCTGGCCTCTGTTAGTTAGATAACCCCTAAATGTAATAAAACATTGTTGGCCTGCCATTTTCTCACTCACTTCCCTATCTGTGGAAATCTAAAACATCAGCTGATATCATGCCCGTTGGGAGTTGAGTTGACGCATTAGTTCATATGTGTCGCCCGTTCCATTGAACTTGTTTTACCTCGCCCCTTCGACGCCAACCGGTTTTTCCCCCAGGTATTGCATTTGGCAACCAAAAAAAAAAAAAACAAAAAACGATTATAAACAAAACAATAACAATAACAATGAGGCACTCTGTGTAAGCCGGTTTATTTGCATGAGCCAAACATCAGATTTAAACTAATGAACTCTAATGGCACTGTTGTAGTCGGGAGATTTCTACGAATTTGTATGAAGTTTCATCTGGGATATATCTTCGTTCTGAGAATTTCTCTTACGTTTATGTTTTATCGATTTGATTTATTTTTAATGAGGTTGTACATTGTACATGTTGTATCAATCATTCCTATGACGCATATTGAGATTTCCATTGACTCTTTTGGTGTATTTTCATTGTTTTGTGTTAAGCAATCTTATTTCTTATCAGTTGACGTACAAAATAATTAAAATTTTGATTGTGCATGATGTTGTTTTGTAGATTACAGTGGTTCATAAAGATTCAAATTAGAGTGTTATATTTTTATTTTGATGACATATTGAAAACAAATCTTAAGATGTTACTAATCAGTAGCTATGATAATTTTTATGATACAGTTAGATTTCTTATCGATACGTTGGAAAAATATTATTCATTTTAGTTAACAACACACATTGCTCATAGTTTGATAACCTTTTTTTCCTTGTAAACATAGTTTATAATATAAGTAATAATTTCTTGTAACTTTTTGTTATTGATTGGTTTTAAACCTTAAATGAATCTTATGTGAATCCTAACAATTACAGATATTTTGTGATTATTTTATTTGAGTTGGCTTTTTCTAAATTTCACTACTATCATAATATTTTTATGAAAATAACGAGCAACAAAAATTACTTAATGGGAATGATTGATGCCGCACAAATTGCCATTCCGAATCCATTCGTCTCAAGCCATCCAATCAGTTTTTGATTCCACCACGCCATTAGTTCCTCCTTATCGCCACCTCTCACCCTCGAATTTACTGGACTTCACCTATTCCGATTTGCTCAAGCTCCACTTGGAACACTTGATAATCGCTTTAAAGCTCAGTTCCCCAATGCGCGTGGGGACTTTTGCATTTGTTCTAGCGGATTTCAGTGCACAAAGCAAAGTGCCCTGATAAAGTGTGTAAATGAGACGAATACGAAATATAAACGAACATGTAAATATCAATGTAAGGCAAAGTGAAATGAAAACTGCAAAAGTCAGCTGCTCGGGGGAGAGTGCTTACAGTTTGCGATTAATACAGTTACTTTCGATCCAGAGCATGACTTTCAAAGACGACAATTAGTCTTCTCTCAGTACTTAATCGACTACGGTCCCTTAATAAGCTTTCACTTGGTGGTCTAGTGGATCTCTGGTACTCGTAGTATCAGAAATTAATAGTCCAAAAGAGCTCTCTGAAGTGATCTCAGTGATCCCTTGGATTTCTGGTACTCGTAGTATCAACAATTCCCAAACTTTCCATGGTGATCACAGTGATTCAGTAGTATTAAAACCTAATAATCGGTGGTGATCTCAGTGATTTGTTTCAAAAATTCATAACACCCAAACTTTTCAGGGTATTTAAAGTGATCTAGGTGACTGCGGAACCCTGGTTCTCGAATTGATAATCGCCAAGTGCTCCTCATGCTGTTCTATATTGGTCTGGTGTTTATAGTGTGCTTTTCAAGCATTTTGCTCCAAGCTATGATTTGGTAAATTAATCAGATAGTCGCATAGCCGATAACAACATATTGGTACTATCGGTGAGAATGGTGGAGACAAACGTCAGTGGTTTTTGTCTTTTGACTTCCTGTTGTTGCCATCCTTTATCAATCCGAACAAAGGGCGGGCTATCTCGTCTGTCTTATTATTATTTTGCATTGTGCTCGGTTCAATTCCTCTTATTATTGTTATAGTGGGTGTGCCTTAAAGTTAAACCATCCAAGGTTGAAGAAGTATATTTAACTTTCAGACCTTTTTGTAGTCGTTCTTGATAACGCGTGATCTTTTTTATACATTTTTAATAGTGATTCAATTGAGGGCGTATTTATTTATACCTAAAGTCAGTCATACAGTTCAAAAATTATATTATTTTTAAAGCTTTTATAAATTATAATAATGAGTTTAGTCAAACCGAACTCTTCATAGGTTCCAATTGCCTTTGTAAGCTTATAGGCTAGTGCCTGATAAGGAAATGTTGTCCAGACACAAAACAGCTCTACAAATAAGAAAGCTCTTATCGTAAATGCAAATAGACTACTCAAACATGGATAGCCTTTGTGAGCACCTTGAAGGTTGTATAAATCCGTCCGCAATAGATAAGAGCTGTACTGCAATTGAAGGCAAAATCCGCAATCAAATCCTTATCCAATAAAAACACTTTCATCTATTTATGTGCCATATTAATGTGTCAATCTGTATCTTCACGTTCCGTTTCAGGTACCGGCAGACACGCTTCAGTTCGCGGCGTGTGCGAAAACGTGTGGTCTTCAAGCACGGCGAGTGCAACGTTGTGCAGGGCAATGTGGCCAAAAGGCGGCGACGCTATCTACAGGTGAGCGGTGGGCGGAGGGAGTTACGGGGCGTGGCAGTGCGTGACTATATCTAGTCGGCGGCCCACTTGCGTTCGATTTTCGCGCTATATTTAGCCTTCTCTCGCGGGCTTGCATAACGCTCGCAGCAAGACTTTGGCGGCAATTATGTAAATTGATTCGTGCTTCTCACGCGTAATTCCATAATTCTATTTTTTATAGATATATTTTTTTGAGGAATTTGAAGCAATAAAATGCTTACTTAAATGTGTAAACTCTATAAATATTTTGTTGAAAGTTAAAATTAATGTTATGACTGTCTTACATGATGAGTATTTTGTTGTTTTTTAAAATTATGATAGTTTCAGTCATTTGAAATACTTGTATAATATAATTTTAATGTTTAAAAATTCAAATAAAATGTACAAAAATTGATCATTTTTAATTTGTTTTTTATAAAAAAGAATTTCCAACTTCAAATGTATTTCGTTTTTATCAACCAATGTTTCAACTATAAAATAGTTCCATTTTTAACTGGTTTCTGGTGCAAGCTATTTAATTCCAAAACTAAAGCTTAAGGCTATGGCAGCTTTTGCTTTTAACAAAACACAGCACTTTACAATTTCTGGTAATTTCTGAACGATAATAATAATAATAATTTCAAACCTTACAGAGTATCTGTTTTCTCTTCCAGGACATTTTCACCACCCTGGTGGACGCTCAGTGGCGCTGGACGCTGCTTGTCTTCGCCGCCAGCTTCGTCTTCTCGTGGGCCTTCTTCGGGTTCATCTGGTGGATCATCGCCTATGCGCACAATGACCTGGAGTACACCAATCTCAAGAACCAGTCGCCCGATCTGGTGGCCAACATGACGCACACGGTCTGCGTGACGCAGGTGTCCAACATGATGTCCGCCTTCCTGTACTCCGTGGAAACCCAGACGACCATTGGCTATGGTAATCGCTATGTGACGGAGGAATGTCCGGAGGCGATATTCACCATGTGCATCCAATGCATCACGGGCGTGTTCATCCAGGCCTTCATGGTGGGCATTGTGTTTGCCAAGTTGTCGCGCCCCAAGAAGCGTGCCCAGACGCTGCTCTTCTCCCGGAATGCGGTGATCTGCCATCGGGATGGAGTGCCATGTCTGATGTTCCGCGTGGGCGACATGCGCAAGTCGCACATCATCGAGGCCCATGTGCGGGCCCAGATCATCCGCAAGAAGGTGACCAAGGAGGGCGAGGTGCTGCCCTTCTATCAGCAGGAGCTGCACATAGGCGCCGACGGGGGCGAGGATCGCCTGATGTTCATCTGGCCTACGACCATTGTACACAAGATCGATAGGAATAGTCCACTGTACATGCTCTCCGCCTCCGATATGCTGAAGGAACGCTTCGAAGTGGTGGTTATGCTGGGTAAGTTTGGCTCTACCCACTTTCTAGAGCTGTAAACTAATGAATGAACCATTTCAGAGGGTGTCATCGAATCTACGGGCATGACCACGCAGGCCAGGAGCAGCTACCTGCCTTCGGAGGTGCTGTGGGGCCACCGCTTTGTGAATGTGGTCTCCTTCCGCAAGGAGACCGGCGAGTACGAGGTGGACTACACGTTGTTCAACAACACCTACGACGTGGACACGCCGCTGTGCAGCGCCAAGCAGCTGGACGAGCTCAAGTCGGAGTACACGAAGAGCGCCAAGAGCTGTCCCGGTTTGGGCGGTGTGAACGCATCCTTTGCGGATCGCACGCTCTCGACCAGCTTTATCCAGCGGATCGCCTCCGCCGCCTCGGTGGATCACCTGGATCCGGCGAGCGACGAATCGCTAGACTCCGGCCGCCTCCAGATACGCTCCCATTCCATACCCAACGGCGTGCTGGCCAGCGAGCTGGAGCCGCTGAATAACAACAAGCACGGCGCTTCGTTCACCATGGGCGGTCTGACCATCACGACGACGGCGCCCAGCATCCCCAACCTATCCAGTATTAACGAGAAGACCAACTCCGGAAATTCCATTAACAGCAGCAACTACAGCAATAACAACAGCTTGAGCACGCTGACCGGAGGAGGAAGTGCGGCCAGCGGACCCGGAGGAGGCATCACCATTGTGGCCGGTTCTGGGCACCATGGCGGCGGAGGAGGCGGTGGTGGTAGGCACAAGTCTAACCCCCGTCGCCTGAGCATAAAGCAGGATCAGCTGCCCATCGATTCCATTTGTTGATATTATTAATTGAGTGGCAACCCAGCCCCAACCGTCAGTTAACCTGATGTTGTATTCTAGTTAAGCATAGGCTCCCACTATAATTCTAACTCAAACTAGGCTAAGCGAGATTCCATTGAGAGCTCATCTGTCATAGCCATAGAGCTGCTGCAGCTGTGAACCCCCTCAAAAATCCCCAACCCCCTTTCCTGCTGAAGTGGAGGCAATCTGATTGTTACCCACCCATCCACTAACCCTGAAACGATTGTATATGTATGATGTGCTAGGCTGATGAATGATTCACGTTGTTAGCTTTACTTGTATTGAATTTACTATAGTTAAGTTACAAATTGATATTAACGCAAAGTAAGATGTGAGACCCAGAAACCAAAATGCTGCAACTTAGACCCCTAGAGAAATGTTTAAACAGCTCACTAAATATGAATATGAAATTTATGCGAGGTCGCAACGGAATTGTAAATTCCCTTTTACCCAATAATTGCTAAATATTATTACTCACTTCCATTGAGAGATAGAAAATGTATATTTAACTCAATAAAACTGTTTCAAAAACAAGAGCTTCAATTATCATAATGAGTGGACAATAAAATTGTATGAGTATGTGAATGATTGATCAAAAAATTATATTTTTAAGCGTCGCCCTGATTGTGAAAAAGAAAGACGGAGAATACACCTTAAGATGAAAAGAAGAAAAACCAACCGATGCGTTTTATTTGGGTTTCAGATCATATTCAACATTTTGAGAAATTCAACCTCCCAGTGGAGCCAATAAAACACAACATTCAGTTTATTTATTTTTGTAGTGGTTTTTCTTTAATTTTGACGTTTTTTTTGTTTAGCTGAGGAAAAGTTTATCATTTTTAAAGCATACAAATTTCTCATATGAAACATACACAAATATATAGCGACATACAAGTACAGGGGATTGGTCAAAGGGTGTCTAAGAAATCCTCGAAAGCTGTTCATAGCAGTTCCAGGATTCCAACAACTCTTTTAATCAAAATTTATGTTAATAGAATATGCGAAGGGGTTCTTTTAATTTATTTTATATGTCCGTAGGCGTAGTAGTACAATAGTAGGTAATTAGTTCAATTTCAATTTACAACAAATAATTTCTTTTATTGAAGTTGCGCCTTTTTATTGAATTTCGTAGTTCTCTTTTTCGACTTGCAACAATCGACTTTCAATGGTGCGCGAAATTCATTACAACAATTAAAATACATATGCCTATATTAACAATAGATTTATGTTTCGTTTTCGTATCGGATCTGTTTAAGTTGATATCGTATCTGTATCTGCATTATCATTACGCATAGCTGTAGCTTAGTTTAAAGTTAAACTCTTTATGCTGTAGGACATGTTTAAGAATATTAAATATTAATATCTCTTAATCGCTTATCTACTAGACCGTTACCAGGACTGTTAAAGGGCCGCCCTAGCAAGGGCAATTCTTTTTGTTTAGATTTTGTTTCCGTTTCTTTCTTTTTTTTTTTTAGTTTTTTCTTTAGTTTCTTTGAGGTGTGTTAGCACACTCTTAGTTGCTGTAGCCTAGCGCTGGTTGGTTATTTAATGTTAGCTAAGTTTAAATTATGTATTTACAGATCCTAAGTGCTAGCTCGAAGTGATACGCTAATTTGTGTTACTTTTGTGTATGGGATTTTGATAAATGCCTTATGAATTTAGAACGATTTACAGTTATGTACCGCTGGGGTAGATCTCTCACTAGATGATAGCTTACTACTAAGTGTCTTACGGGCGTAATTCATGAAATGTCCAGCAATATTTTCCAACCTTTACAATCATTTTGTGTGTGTTTTTGTGCCTATCATCTATTTTATACAATTTCTCTCCTTCCATCTTATTTTACAAGCTACTTTTATAGAGATGTAAACGGTTTCACCATCAAATATTGTTGGACGACGCGATGATGAGTAACGGATGAGTGGATTTGTGAATGTGAATGTCAGCGGATTACTGATTTACAAATTCAATTCAAGCATAGTTGATTTGTTTCGGTTCTTTTTCTTTCTGTGCATCTGTCTGTCAGCTTGCGTTCTGCGGGCGCCAAGAATTCATAGTTGAAGAACTGATTTATCACAAGTATTGGTTTTAGTAATTGCAATTAAGTAGAAGGCTTCGCATGCGATCTCCGGAAGGGGTAACAACTTGCAAGACGAACTCTGGACGAGTTCAAATAATTAATTAATTAAAAAATAAATAACAATCATGCTGACTAAATGAGTAAACCATAAATGGGAGGATTGATGCGATGAATGAGGGGACAGCTCCAATGGGCCGACAGCAGCAGGTGCATCAAATGTTGCCAGCAACACGTGGCAGCTAGTTCAGGAAAAAAATAACCAAGTCGCCGCTCAGTAGTACAGGTAACTATTGTTCAACATGTCGTAGCGGTAATCGAACTGTTGCTGCTGCTGCTGTTGCTGCTGCTCGGATCGATGCTGCTGCTCGCTCTGGAAGCTAGTGAACCAACTCTTAGTTGCGGCAATTCGCAACAGGTACTTTCATTCCTTGCGATGCTGCTGCTGCTGCTGACCTCCCGGTTGCTGTTGCTGCGATTGCAGATGATGCTGCTGCTGCTGCTGTTGCAGGTGAGGCGGCAGCCTCGACTGCTGTTGCTGCTGCTGCGACATGCCGCTGCCCACATGTTGCGCCTGCATTCCGTGCTGGCTGTGATGGCCATGCATGGGCGCCTGGGTGGGCACATGGCCATTCAGACTTCCGCCGCCAGCCGACGAAACTGCATTCGAAGCAGCCGTGGCCGTGCTGTTGCCCTCGGACTTCTCCCGGGGCAGCAAATAAACGGAGCCATCGGTAGCCTGCTGCAGACTGTAGTCCGCCGGTGAGCAGGGATTTCCTTCGGGATCCCGTAGATACTGTAGAGTAAACAATTTAATTAGTTTGTGATCTGACAATTAAATATAATAGAAACCCACCTGGAAGACATGACGATGCAGCATGGCGAACTTGTTCGAGATACGCTTGCGCTCGCTCTCCAAATGATCGCGGTCCTGATTGAGCTGCGTCTTACGCTTGACCACCGCATTCACCTCGTCCTCAAGGGTCAGGATCTGGTCTAGCTTGCGCTTACGGCAGTTCTGGGCAGCCACCTTGTTCTTTCCACGACGACGAATGTCGCGGATCAGCGACAACTGGTTCTCGCTTAGGTCGTACTTGGACAATCGCTCATTGAACTCGTCCATGGGCAGATTGATAATGTCCTGCACGGAAATGGGGATGTTCAGGGATCGGGCACGCTTCTCATCGCGTGTCAGATGCTCGTCCTCCAAGCTGCTGCTACTTCCACCGGCACTGCTGTTGCTGCCGGCACTCGATCCCTTCGAAGTTGTCTTAGTGGCCACCAGAGGCTTCTTATCGCGAGCCTGGGGTCTGGGCAGGGAGCCACTTCCCTGGGGTAGCGAGTAGGTATGATTTAGTTGCACCAAATCCTGTGAAGTCCTGGGCGATGGTCGTACTGTATAGTCCCCGGAATAGGTGCTTCCGCTGGCTCCCATGCCGTAGGCCTGGTGATGATGGTAGTCCTTGGTCAGAGCGGGTCCCATCGCTCCTGGCTCACTGATGCCACCGCTGGCCATGCCCGACGAGGCGTAGCCAGCATCGTACTCGTACTTAATGCTCTGTGATTGGACTGCAGTAGCAGCTGCTGGTGGAGCTGTGGGCGGCAGAGCCGATGGGGTCTGCTTATGGGGATCCCTCTTGCCGTATAGCTGATGCTTCTTCTGCGCCACCGGCGGCTGACGGGTGGCTGTGCTCAGCCGCGAATTGTTGTTGTAGCTAAAGTCGTAGGGGCCACCGTACTTGCCCTGATGATAGTCCTGGGCGGAGTCGCTGCCCTCACCCCACTCGCCGTCGGAGAGGGACGGCACTCGCTCCGAACCCATCGAACTGACAGCACTGTCGCTGGACGCGTCCAAGCGATCCGCACCGCCTTGTGCTCCTGCACCGCCGCTGGCCAGAAGATCGGCGGTCATGCCCGCTGCTCCAGTGCCCACAGCCGAGCCGCTCATTGGGCCCACGCCGCCAGCAGCTCCGTTGGCTTGGTTGCCGTGCGGATTTCCCGCTCCCAGTTGAGCCGAGCTGCCAGAGCCGTTGCTAACATGTCCACTGCTGGGCAAGCCCAGGACCGAGGAGTTGTTGCTGGTGCTGTTGTCCACCATGCGACAGAAGCCTGCAATGGGAGAATAGTTCAATTAGTATAGTTCATCATAAAATAAACAGGAATTTCAATGCTTATCTATCTTATTTCCAGTATATAAACAAAGACCTAGACAAAATCAAGTCAAGTATGGTACTGATCATACTAAACAATATAAAATAATCTTTGTAAACCCATAAAAGAATAAACTAACTACTCTACAACGTACCTCCTCCTAACTCAATTGGGCTATAACTTTATTGTTTAATCGTAAGAATTGAAAATGCATACCAAGAAGCTCCTGAACTTGATGACGTGGTGCAATATTGATCTAAATTAGCTAGTAGAACTAGTTCTCCTAGTGGTCCTGCTGATTTTTGGGGCTGACCCACTTCACTTATACGGTGTTTATTAGAGATTCGCCCTTATCGCCAGGCACGTCTTGAATCACTCGCAGCTTCGATTATTCAGCACAAATTTACGACTAGCATTCCGGTCGCTCGGAGCAAGGAGAAGTACTAAAAAACTGTGCAGTCATTTTCCATATTTCACTGGGACTTATCTTATCGGGCGATAAGGAATGAGTGTGTGCGAGGAGCAGCTCGTGTGCGTCTGCCACCTTTTTTTTCGCTGTTTCGCAAATACCTGGCCACATTTCCACATCTTTCTGGCCCTCCCTGATAAGAAGGAGTCAGATCTGTTCCCTATATCTAATCACTGTCCACACGGAGCCCGAAAAACAAAAACGACACGCCCAAGGGGCATATTTCTTTTTGGGTCTAACCAAAAACACGTAATCTCCATGTGCAATCTCACATTATTGCGCGCCTGCAGTTAATTAGCCAAATCAATTCGTAAGCTGATTGGAGCAAGCTCTCATGTATTTATACCCTCAGTGTGCAAGGTCAAAGCTTAAACCATAAACATTGATGACTTGACAAAATGCGATACTTTGTATGAGCACGAAGTGTATATGAATACGGGGAACGCTGTTTATAATGGAAGTTTTCTTTTATAAAGAAGGCAATCTTTTATAAATTATTGACTATGATAGTAAAGCTAATCTTTGCTTTAAATTTTCCTTAGACTTTCCTTGTCGGTATGAACTTAAAAGGGTTTGAATAGATTTTAATAGTAAAGATAGACAGAAATTTATTTCTGATGATAGCAGGCTAAAATTACTTTGATCAAAAGTTTAGGAATCAAAATTGAGTGCATTACGTGGCTTTTCCCTGAAACTAACTTTAAAATTAAAATAAAATGTAACCTACATGAGGAAAAATGTGAATTAATGTAATAATTAATATTTGATTTAAATTTTCTTTAGACTTTCCTTGTCATCATGAACTTGAATAGGTTTTGAATAGATTTTATTAGTAAAGATAGACAGAAATTAATTTCTGATGATAGTGGTTAAGTTTACTTTGATCAAAAGTTTACGAATCAAAATTGAGTGCATTATGTGGCTTTTCCTCTGAAATTAACTTTAAAATTAAATTAAAATTTAACCTAAATGAGGAAATATGTCAACTAATGTAATAATCATTCAAAGTAATTATGATTTCCCCATATCGATAGTGCACTGTAACCGAACAGGAGAGTTATCAGCGACGAATTGAGCGCAAAAGACATAACGGAAACCATAAAGATAACCGTTAAAGCCAGTGACACGTTTCATGATGTGCAAAAAAAAGTATGTAAAAATAATACAGAGATCCAAATTGAGAACGTCTTTGTTTCGCTGAAACCTAACCCACTTGCGATATTTCCCGTACTCAGGAACTACACTCCACACCAACCCCCTAGAATTCGCAGATATTAGCAACTATTCATACGACTCTCCTCCTATGCTCTTGAGCTTTTTTTTAACGTTATTGTTTCAAAAAGCGATGACTCAGCAGTTTAAAAATAGTAAACAGCAAACAGGCGGGCAAATAATAATAAAAAAAAAAATGAAAAAAAAAAACTTGCTGAGCGGGCATTAGGCTGCGGGCAGAATGAGAGATATAGAAACCGCTCGAGAGAGAGAGGACAGAACGTTCCGCTGATATCAGAATCAGAAACAGCAACAAAGATCGCCGTGCGGCATGACTAATGAAAAAATTGTTACGCGGTCACAAGTAAAATTTTAGAGGGCTTTCGCTCTTTTTTTGGCAAGGGGCACGGACACGGGCACCGAAAATAAAACCACCCCAACCAACCGATCCAGAGCATTATCTATCTATATAGTTCTCTGATCACTCTCACCTGTTGAATTGCTTTCACCGTTTTTGGGATGCTGCTAGATCGCTCGACATTCGCCAAATTAAACTCGAAGATATATATATTTCGATATATTCTATACTGCTCCCAAATGCGTCACTGTTTTTATCAAATTGGTTATGCTAATTACATTAAGTATACGGCACGTTGCGCGTTGTGATATTTTTTCAATACGTATGTATGTAGGGGGGTAAATAAGTATATTTTTAATGGTTTTTCGAGTCGCGTCGGTGTCGGTTCTAATATTTACTTTACTATCGGATTCGATTGTTCGTGTTCGACTGATTTGCCTCTGCCTCGCGCTCTGTTCTTTTCGCCTTGCTTTTCGCCCTGCCTCTTGAGTGGAGTGGATTTGTGATTTTTAGCTTTTCGTCGCTCGAAGTGAGTGGCAGTCGCGAAACCTGAGCGCCCGCTCTCTCCTACCCCCGCTCACTCAGCCAAACTCTGAACTAATTGTACGAATTTCGTATGCTAATCGCACAAGAACGATAAACAGTGAAAAAAAATGTAAGGAAAAGCTCACCAGGTGAGTGAAATCGTGCTTGAGTGAGAGTGAATGATACTTTTCTGTCGCTGCTTGCGCACGCGCTTTTCGCTTCGTTCTGAGTCGTGGGGTCTTGAGTCAAAGCTCTCTCGCGATGAGTGGCTAGTGGGTGGAGAAGCCGCCAACGATGCGCATTCCACTTAACGGACTCCAAAGCTTATTAATAATTTAACAGAACTTTTGGGGGATTCGAAAGCTCAGCACTGAGAGAAATTTAAGTTTATAAGGGATAGGTTAAAGATAAGAATTCTATAGTTATTACTTATATGCTACCTATTTTGATTTTCGTTTAACTAGAGCTTATGAATGATAGAATATTTATGGTATTGCGTAATTTGCAGGAACTGTAATAACTATTATTGATTTAATAAAAATCAGAAACTTAATGTGACATAATAAAAATCTGAAATGTAGTGATTTTTTTAGATTTTACCTAATTGCCCAGCCACGTTGGATTGCTCATAATCAGAGTTCTTTATCAAATGTATAATTGTTAGGAACGGTCCCTGGTAAATTTTTAATTTAGAAGTGAAAAAGATAGGTTGGCTGTGCCTTACTAAAATTAGCCTCCCTTGATAAATATAATGTATAATAAATAGAAAGTTGTAAGAACTCACTCTCATTCATGTCCATCAAGTGCAGATCCTCGTCGGTAAAAATGGAGTTGATAAAGCCATCCGTCTGGTTAATGTCCGAAGAGGTGTTCTAAAAAAAGTTAAGTTAGAATCGTTATAAAGGGATATAGAGATAAAAGATAGATGTAACTCACCCCGTAGTACATCAGATCGTGCTCCACCTTATAGGCGGCGGCAGCAGCGGCTGCTCCATCGGCCTCATGGCTGGAATTGGTCAGATGCATGCTCGAGGTGACAGCCGAGCCCAGGTTGTGTCCATAGTGGGGCTGGCCAGTGGGGCAGATGTCGCCCAAGGCGGCATTCGGGTGGTGCAACATGGCCGCGTGGTGCGGTGGCGGCGGTGGTGGTGGCTGCAAGGGAGCCGTGGCGCCACTTCCGTACTGACCATGCTGGCCGGGAGTTCCCGGTGCTCCGTTCGAGGGAGTCGCCTGATAGGAGTAGCCCGGATAGTGGTGCGGATAGGGCGACATATCGGATACCCCACCCACCATGCTCGGAATGGGACTGAAGTAGGTGGCAAAGTCCTGAAGACGCTCCATCGAAACGCTGCGATTCAGACGCGGCATGCGGCCCTGCAAGTAAGGAGAAGACAAAGAGACATTGATTAATTCGGCGCTCGTCGCTTAGCCGCGTTGATGTATTAACAAGGTGAGAAGGGTTCGGAATTACGAAACTTATAACTCAATAACCGATCAATCATCCGCCAGGGGAATTCTCTAGAAACGCGGCCAGACAATAAACCGAATTCAAATTGCGCTACAAGTAACAATCTCCTGGCTGTCAGAGTCTCAGACTCAAACTCAAACTCCGACTTCGATTCCGATTCCGACTCTCTGTGTAAGCCAAAAAACGTGCACAATGTATCGGTCTGGCGATTTGACTGCCAGATCGATCAATGTGGAATTGAAATGAAATTCGTATCTTTCAAATTGACAAGTGCTCGGGGTTCGCAGCCCAGCCAGCGGTCTTGGCCAGTTTTATTTTCGTCTTATTTCTGTTTTCCTAAGACTCCTCTGTAAAAAAAAAAAAAGCTGGCTCTGTAAGTCTTGGCATCTTGGGCTGGCTGGCTGACTGATGGCCGGGGATCGTGAGACGACTATGACTTCATTAGGCCGCCTTTTGTTATTGTTAATTACCGGTGGGCTTATTTATTTATTCAACTAATTCCGCAGCCAGAGCGTGGGCGAATGGCAAAGGTATATATCGTATATATAATATGGCATTCTACTCCCTCCCCCACAAAACTCACACTCTCGAATAACAATATTCCTCGAACTCGAACTGCGATCCTTTATCAATTCCTTTAGCGGCACCAATTTGTTTTTAATGCTAAATGTGCAATTAAGATCTTTCAGAGATGAGATCCGATCCGATCCACCTATATCTGGCTGACGTTGACGCTGATGCACTTTGACACTGACATTGCCGATAGGGATCGAAAGCGAGAAACGAAAATTCCGACAAAAGAACTCTGGATTCCGATCGAACTCCTTTGCGCGTTGACGTTGAGTTGTCGTTTGACCAGCACCAACTGACTGACTGACGGAATGACAGTAGCCAAGGCGACGCACACAGATACTCGGAGATGGATGCATTCTGCTTTGTGTGAGTGCGGGCTGAACAAACAACCTGTGTATCCGAGTATCTCGCCATGCGCATGTGTATCTAATGAATGCCTCAACACGCTCCTGAACGCAAACAGGTAAGTCGAACACGGCAGGTAGGAGCCATCGTCGAGCATTGGGCGTTCACTTCAGCCAGTTGCATTGGCTTTGCATCTGTATCTGTAGCTGTGTACCTTTGTATCTGTGAGTGCGCAATGCGCATGTGTAATTTGAATTGTCACTGTCTTGTCATTAACTTCTGGTGTTGGCCATTGTTTGTTACGCTTCACACGCAAACAAATCCAACCGCCAGCTTAGACACGGTAGCCGATCTCCTTACACACATGTATCGATCTGGAGAGTGAGATCGTCTAGGGGTTTTTGTGTGTGCCCAAGAATCTATTCTCTGGAACCTTTAATTCAACCTCAACCGTTACAGGCGATCAAGAAAGGGGCGGAAGATGCATTAGATTGCATATTTGATAGGGGAATTACCATCATTTAAGAGTATTTCATTATAACCGATCCCATTAACTGTTGGCATTAGGGTTCCGCTAGATTAGGTCTATAATCTATAGCGGTTTTTGAGTTCTACTTGGTATATAGGGAAGTACATCTTAGATGCTTCAATAAATTATAAAACCTAACACTGTTATATACAAAATATAAAATACCTCACTTTAAATACTCATTTATTGAACAATTAATAACTATTTTTATTTAATCATAGACTATATCAAAGCTCATTGATCATTTTTATACCAAACATGATGCAAATGTGTTGGCAATTAATTTAAGCAATTCATCAACATAATATATATTTTTTAAATGAACACGAGTGCATGAACGTGAATAAAGGGGGAATCCAAAGCAATTAGCTACTAGTGCATTTAGTATGAAAAATAAGTTTTTAATTAAACGACATGAAGCATTCCCAAAATCGTTGTTTAATCTTTAAAACAAGCACTTTATTTTCGATATTTGTTAAACATATTTCCACGAAATCCCCAATCCGTCAATGGTAAACCGGGAACCACCGATATTCTATGGCTTACACTTAGTCCCTGTTGCCAACGGCCGGCAAATCCCCTCAAGTCCCCAGCCATCACACCTGAGCGGTAGTTTCGTGGGTTTTTTGTCATTAACTTGATTTATGTGTGTGCACAAATCGAGTCCCATGACAGCCGCAGTCTGAGTTTCTCAGTTCGAGTCGCAACTTAAGCCTCCGCAGCCATCAAACTGTTTACATAAATTGAATTAAAATCGTCGGGCAAAAAATCGGGGGGAAAAAACTACAGCCAAGAAAAACAACGAAGCGAGGCAAAGCAAAACAGAGATGCTGTAAAATAATTAATAAAGTTTTTTTATTATTTATTATTTTTTCACTCGCTCTGCGCTGATTTTTCAGCGTTAAGCTTTTTGCAAATATTTAAAATTCACATAATTAAAGCCATGCAGGGCGATTAGGGGGTAAAAAAGGGCGGGGCAGGGGCAGGGGCAAGGGACGGACATTAAGAGATAAATTTTTTTGTAATTCGCGCGCGCTAAATGGGGATTTAATTGCAGGGGCTACCGCCGAGCGGGCTCAAAAAATGCAATCAAGTTGCGGAGGGGGAATTGGAGGGCAGGCACCGCTGCAAAGTGCCACCGAATTCAATAAACACTTCGGCCCCATGCGGAAAAGTCAAGTGGCGCATTGCAAGCGACACAAAAAAACAAAGGCTCTGCGCAAAAAAAAAGAGTCAACAACAAAGTGTTCGTAATGAACGCAGGCGCCTCCCTTCCGCGGCTTCACCTCCCCACTTTTCACTCAATGCCTCAAGAGCTTGGCTTAGTGATTGCAATTAGCAGGAGATACACACGAAAATATATTAAAATTTAGTGGTAAAAAGGTTTTAGATCATTTAGAATACATGTTTTATAAGGATTGTACTTTTTCCACCTTTAAAACATCTCTAAGAATATTTTATCAATACTGGAAACTGTTTGTATAACATTTACTGTATTGTTTTTCCCAGGAGTTGTACTATTTCCTTCTATAAAATATCAATAATAGTATGTTCTGTAAATGAATTCTAAAAAAAATAAAGCATAAAGCATAAAGCCTTGATATCATAACAAAACTTATTATTAAATATTGTCCTACATATTTTTCTCTGTGTATAGACAGTCATAGATCGCCACAACGACACCTGAGGGCAGGTAGCCACACCACAGCACAGAGACGCATCATCAATGAATGCAAATGGTAAATTAAATGTGATCAGGAAGTTGCATAATGATTATTCGCACTAGGATCAAGAGAAGAAGTGCTGGAAAAACAAAGCTTAAAGCCGCCTAATGACACTTTCCGTTTAACGGGATGGAAAATCCCCCCAGAGAGTCGGCAAAGGATTTTAGCCGACAGTGGTTCTAAGGAATCCTGCGAATAACCGATCATCTGGCTCATTAAATGGCTTTGGCAAGTGCCGAGCCGGCAACCCGCTGGCATTCACAAAAACTGTAAAACTGCATGGACCACATCAAACACGCCGGACTAAGCCTAATCCACCAACTCAGGCTGACCGCTGTGGTTTTCCTTTTAGATGAGGTGCTATGCGGGTTTATGAGAGTTTGCTACCGGGGAAAGACTTTTCGGTAATTGCCGCTGACTTCATGACTGCTTCGCCTTTATGGTCCTGTCTCTTTTGTCAACTGTAAGGATGTCGTCTTTTTTGGGAAGACTAGGCAGGTCAAAGGTTGCACACAGGTTTGGGCCTTCATTCAGGAAGCACTTGTTTGGCTCAGACTTGTGGTGGATTAGTTTTAAAGGGTCCGAAGAGTGGAGCATAAATTGTCTGAACCAGACAAGATTACGTTGTTGTGACATACAGCCATAAACGATGGTAAAATATAATATAATGATTAAGGGGTCTACATCCTATCAATATCCTCAAGGTCTAAAACAAGTTAATCAAGCTAGAAATGTTATTTACCTCTAACATTGTATTACTTCTCTGTGATATTTAAATATCAAAATGTTTATATGTATTCAAATCCAGCTCAATCGTGAAGAATCAAGAAATACCGAACACCAAACAAGATCAGAAATAACGAAAACAACTGCTAAGTAAACACACGGAGAGTGAGAGAGAAACGGGTTAGGAAAGATCTTTAGAAAACTTAACAAAACTGAAGAGCAGCTCAGTCAGGGTACATATAAAACCAAGATGGGAGACTACAGCTTGTACCTCAAATATAAACACCGTCTAGATCTGTATGTTCGTATGTATGTCTATTATTTTAACGTTGCTCGCATTCGCTCACAATCATATTTGTTGCTCTTTCCGTACATTTTTGATGAGCAGTTACAACAAAAGCCAAAAAATAATAATACAAAAAGTCAGACCGACAAGAAGCGGCTAAAAAGCGAGTGAAGAATGAAGAGTGCAGAAAAGAGAGGCCCAGAAGACTGGGGGCCTGATTGACGAACTTGTGGCTGGAAACGGAATAAAAGCATACGAATTTTGGGGGGAGAGGGGCTACAATGGGGGCAAGGTGGAAAGCGTGTACAACCAGATTTGAAGCTTTGTACAAACAGCAACAACAGCGACTCTTGAAGAGAGCAGCCCCAAGATCAAGTGCTTGAGAACACCCCACGAGGGAGGAGGGGTTTGGAGACCGGTGGAGCTGGCCAGGCCACGTGAAGAACCAGAAGAAATGGAAGGCAGATCATGAAGAAGGGAAAACCGAACTCTGGAAAGAGACACTTCAAAACGAGGAGAAGCAGCCCCAAGAATAACGAAAGCGACGTGCGAATGATCCTTGAATGATTACATATGTACATTTACATATAACCCAACAACTGAGGTCAAAATATAAGTTTTATAGTTTCAAAATTTCAGTAAACTAAGATTTAACTGGGTAGTACCTTTACAAAGTTCTAAGCAACAAGAATTTCAATACAAAAAATGTAGGGCCTGTTAATTTAGTTAAGAAATACATTTTTTAAGACACATAAAAAATAAAAAAAAATTACTTCTTTTGTTCTGAACTCCTTTAAGTTTCATTTAAAATCCCTATTATTTTGACCCCAGCTGTACATACACTCACGCTCCGTAGGGTATGTACATGTGTACCCATGTAAGTATGTGGAGCGCTCGACGGATGGCAGCACTTGAACCGAGCATCCGCATCAAATTATAAATAAATATACCTTTTTTGTCTGTGGGGAGGATTACGATCGATGCACACATACCTGGTGATGGCCATGATGGAATCCGCCGGCAGCTGGCTGCCTCTGGAAGGCGCTGCCCGTGCCGCTGCCCACGCCCACTCCGACGCCGACGCCCACGCCGACTCCACCACCATAGTTGGCCTGCTGCACCGCCCGCTGGTGGGCGGCAGCTGCAGCAGCAGCATGGTGGGCATGAGCGTGGTGCATCGACGCATGGTGGTGGCTATGCGGATGGGCATGGGGATGGCCGTGGTGCGGATGGGGGTGGTGGTAGGGCGGAGCCGTGGATTGCAACATCTCGTCTAACTCCTTCTTGGCGTCCTCATCTAAGTCAAACAGGGGCGAGCCCACGGAATTCTGCAGGTCCTCGAAGTCGCACACCGAGAAGCTATCTCCGTCAGCCTTCTCCGGATCGGTTTCCTTGTTCTCCGCGCCGAGTCTACGTTGCTTGTTAGGAACTCCTTCGCACCAAGGTATTCCTCACCGGTTTCCGATACAATCCTTTGAGCTTGGTTCTCGTTCAAAGCAGCAGCTGCCTGCGAAGTGGAGGCCACCGGATCGTTGGATAACTGGGAGATTGGGAAGGAATACATGAGGTATTTTCTAAGGACTAGATGGGAAGACGGACTTACCTCGTCTTCGAGGTTCGAAAATTCAGAGAGCTTGAGTACGTCGTTTAACAACTCATCCAGGGGCAAGCGTATGTATTCACCTGTGGGGAAGAAAAAATGAAATGGCGTTTTTAAAAACTCATTCTTATTATAATTTGCAGACGATTTGATCTTGGTTCTGGTTTAAAATTTTCTTATAACCCTTTAAGGTTGAATTTATTGCTTGCTTGTACTATAATAATCTGATACTTAAATAAACGTCAAAGTTTCTATCGATACATACATCGGACCTCATATAACCGAAATGTAAGATATAAAGGGAAAACTCCTACCTCATGCTTTATTATTGATTTCATATTTATAAGAAAATATTCCGTTCATATGTTTTCATTTCATAGCTTGGGGAATATCAATAATCCTCGTTTTCCGCTACCAAGAAATATTTATTTTGAGCATAATCATTTTTTAAACAACCTTTTGATCTCCCAGAATATTTACAGTAAATAATCATCATTTCCTTCCCTTGGGGAGTGAGAGTCAAGATCTTTGTGACCCTATCAAAGCATATAAAATATTGGAAAATATTTTGATCATTTGAATGGATAGCTGGCCGTCTCTTTAGAAACTCCCACTCCCTTTGAAACTCCCCAGAGAGTGATCAATTTTCTGCTACAAAAACAGTTTGAAGTCCCGAAATATCCCGGGGGCAGGAAGAAGGTAAGCAAGTCCCAAACAGTAGCACTTTCCTGTGGGAGTGAGAGTTCGGAAAGATCAGCGGAGAGATCACAGAGTGGACAGTAACTAGAGTCAGTCAGGCTGCGGCGATCATTAATCATAATCATAAAAACGTGATCTCTGGGAGATCTCCTTCACTCAAGCCGTCTGACGGAAGCAGCTGAAAAATATTGCAATAAATGAACGATTTCCCAAGCTCCCTGCGGTCTCACCCCTATCATCTCCACCTAATTGATGATCAGTTATGACAGCTCCGAGATATCTAAACTAAACACAAACTAAACCCCAGGCACAACAATAGAAAGCTTCCCTCAAGTATATCGCTTACAATTGACTCGCAACAATTGATTCCTGGTCAAATATTGATGGCAGCCAAATATTTGCATTGGAAATTCTCGGGAAAATCCAAGTCAAGAACTGAGTGGGGGTATTCGACATTATCAGAAAATTACTACTTAACATCTACTCGAGTTCCACGAAGAGTTTTCCTCCCGACTTCCAGACGTGGGCAAACATCTAGATAAAGCCAAAACGAAAACCCGAAAAAATAAAGGCTGAAAAGAGGGCGCAACTTGGTCGAAAGAGCGGAATAGAGAGAGACTCAAGTGGTGTGACGATGACGACCTTTGCCGGGGCACTTGAGTCGGGTCAAAAAATTAGAATAAACATCGCAGATGGAACAGTTCGGTCTCTGGGCCCGGCCAACACAATTCTACCAAATGCTTTGTTATTCTTACGATTGGTTACAAAACACATTTCCCCACTTCTGCTTTCCCAATTTCCATCGCAACCATTTTGGGCCTGTTTCGTTCTTTTCTGTTCTGGCCATGTTTTTTTTCGGCTTGCTGGCGTAAGCCTGTTGTTTTAGGGTTCTCCCTTCTTTACTTAATTTTTTTTTTTGGTAACAGTTCGTGGTCCGTTAATTTTGGTATGCGTTCGTGTGGGTTTCGAATTGTTTACATATCGTTTTTGGTTGATTGTCTCTCGTTTCGTGGGTTTCCACAGCTCGCATTGTGGCCGAAACGACAACAAAATATTATTCGATTTGGGTTCGTGTGCAGGCCTTTGTTTTGTCACCCGTTTGGTCAGGAGCAACTGTCAACTGTCACCAGCAATTAGGCGACAAGGCTCAAAAGAGGCGTTGATGGGGCCAACAATTGTTTGACCGCCTTGAAGGTAGGGGTAGTCAAATTTTTGGTTACCTTTCAGTTTGCTCGGAAGGAAGTTAGAAAGGAATATTGTGGAGTCGCGTAATGGAGCCGCTAATGGGGTTGATTGAGCACTAAATCTACTTGATATTTTCACAGGGGTGACAACGAGTGGATTTTGGGGTGGTATTGGGCGCTACACTTATCATTGTTTGCATATTATAAGCCTAATCGAAGATTTGAATAGGGCTTGATTTTTTTTATATAGGCTGATTGAGAAAAACTTTTCGGGAAAATTGGTTATCAATTGTCGGTTCCACGGAGAAGTAAAAAGTACAGTTTTCGCATAGTTTGCTAATTTTCAATTTTAAATCTCGAACCGATCGCAAATGGAACCCTTGTGTAAAAAACATTAAGTCATCCTTACCCATCCTAACCCCAAGTAAAATAGTACTTTTCTTCAACAAGAATATTAATGTGTTTAAACATTCTAACCAAGAGGCCCCACGTTGGGCGCCATTTTCTTGTTATACTAAACCCAAACTAAAATTCGAAACTCGGTCACATCTCGAACCAAACAATAAAACATTACGAACCTTTTTTAGTTCAAGGGATGCTGCAATGATGACGCAGTCGATATCTATGAAATATTGTGTTTATAATCCAAGAAACACAAACCTGAAACGTCTGTTTTGGTTTTGGTTTTTTTTCGTCGATTGTCGTGTATAGATCGTTGTAGTTGTCTTTTGTGAGCAGATTGAACACAAATTGTTGCAATAAAGCGCTGATTGTTGTTGATATTCGGCCAAACACTTTGACAATTATGTAACGTTTTGACAGCCAAAATGTTGCAGAATCAACAATGGCGTGCCGACTAAAAACAGCCAAAGCAAAAGCAATCCAATCGCAACTTCGATATTGCCGTTTCCGTTGCAGACAGACTTTTATTGTCTTGACTTTATTTTGTTTTTTTTTTTTGCTTTGCACAATTTGGATTGTATGTGTGGAAAATGGGTTTAAGTTATTTTGCAATGCCTTTGGTTATTGTAGGGGGTTTTTTTTAGAATCGCACAATGGTCACTTGAGTGTGGAGCTTGGGTATGTATTTATGATTTGGTAACTTTCACTTTTTTTTTTGCCTTATTTCTTTTGCACAAATGCAGAGATGCGTAATAGTTTAAAAATTGGTTAATGTTTGACACAGTTTAATGATGATTTCTTCTTCGTGGAGAATTTTTCAAATCATCTAATTGGCATAAAAAAGAGCCGAAACACTTGACTTGGCCAGAACGAGCGATTTGAACTGTCCGATTCGGAATGCCGCGTCACCTTGCCGGGCTCACAGAGTTGTTAACGAATTTTCGCCGGAGCAGAGTCCTTTTTTTTCTTGTCCACGCCCACGAAATCGGTGGCAATGCTTTTCTTATATTTTACCCTTATTCGATTTTCTGCGCGCGCGTCAAGCGTCCAACGTTTCTCGAGCGTTTATAAAAATTCGAATACGATTCTAAAACGCTGCCCAAGCCTCTGCCGCGGTCGCTGCTCCGCCATCGCCGTCGACGTCGGCAGAGGCAGAGCGCAAGAGAAATGGCGCTCTCAAGTCGGGGCCAGAGCGTGAGTGCGAGTGAGATAACCTAGTACTTCCTCCCCGTTTTGAGCTGCCTTTGTTCATGCGCACTCGTTTTCGCCTGTGTGTGTGTGAGCAAGGGGCGGAGCTTAGAGTTCAGCTTGGGTTGTCTGCGTCAGTGTGTGTGTGTTGCCTGTATTTCGTGTTTCTACTTTTGCTTTTGGCCGCTTCAATATGGACGCTTTGTTTAAGCCCGAAGTCTTCCACAAAAAAGCCAAAACTGGTTCTCTTGTTCTTATTCCCAGCATGTGCATGTTTCCCAGCTTGAGTGTGTGTTTGTGTGTGAGCCACCAAGAGGAAGAAAGAACAATCTAATCAAGTAATTTAAACAGTCAACAGCAATAAAAACTGCTTAAATTTGCATGGCTAAGATGCTTGTGGTCTAAAAAAATTTCTTAAGAAGCTAGAGCCATATCGTTAACCTAAAACCTAACCTAACATGAGAAAATACAAATGTTTTCATGAATAAACATCTATTTGGAAAGTTTTGGAAAAGTATGACTCCAATATTATAGCTTTAAAATCAATTACAAATTTATTAAATCATTTAAAATCACTAAAACAAAAGCCAACACAAATTAAACATTCCCCAAAAATATAACAATATCTTATAAAACCCTCTCGGAATCTTCAACACCTGCTGCTTAAATAGAGCTCTTGAAATTCTCCCAACCGTATAGCCAGCAGATTTCCCCTGTCCCGAAACTTCTTCAAGTTCAGCTGCAACTCTTCCATCGATTTTATTTGTTTGCTCAGCTCCGAGATCCTCACGTCCAGGTCATTCCTAATCTCCACCGTTTCGGCTATCCACCAGTTTTGGACTTTTGCCAGCTGCTGTCGCATCTGCAACTCAAAACCGCTGACGGTCTGCTGCACTCCCGCCCGCAGTTTTTGCTGCAAGTGCCTGGAGTACTGGCTCTTGAAGCTCCGCTCTTGAGCGCTGGCGTCCAGCTGAGCAGCTCGTATAGATACATGGTTCCCACGAGGCTTCCCAGGACCAAGACGGCTGGCCAGCTGACCGAACGGAACGCCAGGCCACTCAGCAATAGGGTTCCAATGCTTCCTTCGGACTTTATCAAGGAGGCGATCATCTGAAAATTATTTCATGAACTAAAGGAGGCGCAGGCGGCGCTTCTTTGTGACCATTGAGTAACTTTCGATTGTGAATTGGATTGGAGGGCAGTATAAGCTTTGCCCGAAGACGATGCCAAAGGGCAGCCATGCCCCAGGAAAACCGAAACCTTAGATCTGGCTGAAAGTCACGCATATAGAATTGACAATCCACTCTATAGATGAGTTGCCAGTTTAGGGTTTCTTCGCTGGGTGACCCTGGAATTCATCTCAATTGACAAAGTCTAGTTTGCAGAAGTAGAGATAGACGTTCCAGGACTCCATCGTTGAGGAGACCATCCAACTGGGCACTCAAAGCGCGTTGGTAGTGGCTAAGTGCCTGGGTAACTTCGGGTGAAATGGGTGCGAAAGGATTGCACAGACGAGGTATAATTCTGTTGATCTGGTCTTTTAAAACGCATTGACCCACTCCTATTGTCAGTTCACTAAGTTCTGAAATCGCATTTCAAGAGCTTCACTTCGCCCTTCTATCTGCCTTTCTCGATCCCCATTTCCCTATATAAGTCTGTTCTTCTCTCCCTGTTTTCCTTCATTAGTTGACTCACTTTAACTATAAGAGGACTTATCAAAGTGGCCTCCAACTGGGTTAACATCTCCTGGGCACTTAGCAAGTGTTGCCCGAACTTGGTTCTTAAAGCAGACTCCGCTAGGCAGTTGGAGAAATCATTTTCGAATCGCTGGAACTCCAGATATCGCTCTTGTGTTTGTGCGTGGGATTCCGATTGCAACCGTTCCTCAATTGTAGAGCCTCCAAAGCCGAGACATGATATATCCTCTTCCTGGCTTGCTCCTCATTTGAATAAACACCCAGTTCATCTATAAGAAGCCTAAGGCAGCGCTCCATATGCTGATCCTTCACCAGGTGTCCATTTCCGGTTCCTGATTGCTGGCCACATCCCATCGATTGTTAAGTATAAAGAGGTTAGGACGCGATAGCTTTGAGGCCACCTCCTTGAAGAACTGCTTTTCAACGCGGGAAACAGTGGACTCCGCGTTGAGCACTAGAATGAAAACATCCGCATCCATGCAATAGTTATCCAGACAGTCATCCAATTGAGCAGTGACATCCACACCAGGTGTATCCATCAAAACCACATCGTAATCCAAAAGGGGGCAGCGACTCTGGGCATGTTTACTTGCAGCAGAGTCCTGGGTTTCAGTGCCCTTGGAGAATGGGCACTGGCCAGCTCATTCAGGGCACTCAGCTCCAGTGCTGCTCCTCCTGCTCGATCTTCACATGCTCGGCTTCATCTGAACCGTTGGCCTGCACCTGGCAAAAACAACTGGTGGTGTGACCCATGGCGCTGGGCAGGATTTTCTCATGCAGCAAGGCATTGATCACAGCACTCTTTCCATTTGAGGTGCGACCGAAAAAGGCCACCTTCATTCGGTTCCGCAAAAGTACCTTTTCAATAGCCTCCACTTTGCTCGCAAAGATACGAAGTTGCTCCAGCATTTCCAGATCCTTCAAAAGAACATTATCCTCTATCAGGGTTAAAAACCCCGATATGTATGTGCTCATATCATGGTATATATCCTGCAGTTCTGTCTTGGCATCCACAAAATCACTCAATCGCGAAGAGGAAGACGACGAGCGGGATATGAACGAGGATAGCGATGAGGTACTTTCCCCGAGTCCGACTCACACATTTTTCTTAGATAGTTTTTAAATTGATAAAAAGTTCTTTATAAAATATAGGCAAAAACTGTAGACGATGTTTGTTGTATTGATTCGAGGGGTTATAATACACTAAATGGTAAACAGTTTTGAAGCTACATTCTAAGGTAAACTGTTCACCATGAAATCTTTTTTTAACAAATTAAATATTATTGAAAAATTATACAAAATTCAATTGTACGCTTTTAAAGTTATAATTTCATAAAAAAGTTAATTCCTAAATAAACTGGCATAATTTAACTGCAATTTTCATCTGACCCCAATAGAGCTTCCATTTAAATACAAGCTCCTATTTAATACCTCTCAATTTCCACCGCCCAATAAAAATACAAACCTATTTACTCAAAAATTAACACAATTACCGCAATCATGAAATCACCCAAAAGAGAGTCGGAAAAAAGCAGGCAATATGCACATTAATGGGCCACTGAACTAATAGACCGGGCTAAGACCATAGAGCCCGAAAACGCTTTTGGTGAACTTCAAAATACCAAAACTACAGCAAATAGAAAAAAAATGAAATTGGTTGGTTGAGGTTCGGTTCGCTCTGAAAAAATTAGCAGCATCATCAACCAGATGAGGAGGGGGCATTTCGATTGGATGCTTGTATAATTTTTTTCATCGCTGTTAGAAAACAGTAGGAAAAAGAGTACAGAAATATTGAACAAGCAAAACTCGCCTGGTTAATCATTTTTTTTCTCTTCAATGTTTTTTTTTTTGAGAGTTTCTTGAGTGCTTTATTACAACTTAATTAGTTTAAATTGTTGCCGACGCAAAAAAGAAACAACAATAAAAGAAGCCGATGCTGATTGAGAAAATGATGGGACGTTTAGAGGGGGCTTAGATACGCGGAGTCGTATCCGGTGAAAGACAAAAATAAGCTGTGACCGCAAACATTTTTGGTATTTAATATTTTAAATTTGCATAAAAGAAAACGATTGAAAATGTACTTTTTTAATTATAATAATGATGCTTCACTAACCGCTTTCCAACACTAAATTGACCAACACTGTGTGCAGATACATCACATCTATCAGGCAAAATTTATATATGTATAACTAGGCTAGTAAAAGTTAAAGAAAGTGCAACCATTATACAAATGAAATTCACCAATGACTTTTCACTAAAAGGCAACCCTAACCTCGAAATGAGAGCAAAAGCTGTTACAGAAAACCAGTGAGCAACAATTATGACAGGACAGATCCGCGACTTCGGATAGTGTCAACAATGAAATGGCTAAAAGAAGCCAAGCCTGATTTTAGGGAAGAAGGGGGCACTATTGTTAACAGACATGTGTATAGATGGCAGTCGGTAACATTATCTGTACTTTACGCTACTTTTTGTTGTTAATGAGTTGCCACAAAATGCGAAGAAGCTGAATGAACCTTATGAATGATTTTGCTGACTGCTCATTTGAATAGACTCATTTGAATACCACAACATAGGAAAATAAATTGGAGTAGGAAATCAAGCGCTGGGATGGCGAAACTTTCATAATCCTTAAAGTCAAGTATTTTAACCACTACGGCGGCTAATTAAACAGCGAATTTATTTCAAATTATGCAATTTTCAGTCAGTTTTGGCCAAAACTGAGGTGTATAGAGGAAGCGGGGGAAGGTTGCGCAAGACGAAAACACTTGAAAGTGATACGATTATGCAGCACAAAATCGTTGACCAGGCCAGACTAGACCGGACCAAAAATAAAGCCGGTCAGGACTGCAGCCCCTGGCACCTCAACCTATGCCCCCTCTTCCCTGTCTGTTTGTTAGTTTGTCAGCATGTAAATTTCCCTCTTTTTTTTTGTAAATTTGTAGCGTAATGCTGACCACGTAGAATTTGAACAATTTCTACGGACCGCTCTGGCCCCTCTTCACCCGCACTCCCTCGCTTTTCCAGACAACAGCAGGGCGCAGAGTTGGAAAGGAGGGTCAAGGAAGGCCACCAGACAGATGAAAACATGAGGATCCTCAATAGGTGCACCGCCGCCACCGAATTAAGAGACAAGCATCGGCACCACTGCACCAGATGTTTTGTAATAACCGCTTTGATGTTTACCAAGGAGAACCCGTCGATGGCCAGGAAATTAAATAATAACTCGGGTTGCCAGTGATCTATTATTGATAAAGAAAAACAATAAAAGAATATAACTAGTTTCAATTAAATGATCTTGAAATTTATAAGCAATATAACTGCAAGAACCTAAATAAACAGGTTTCTTTAATGATTGACATTGAGAAGTTTGATTAGTAACTATGGTATCGAAAGAATTTATAAAATCAACTGTTTTCTCCCAATTTATAGGTCTATACTCCATAAAGTTCTTGAATCGAGTCTTTTGAACCTTCCAGAGAACTCCGTTTTATGTTCCCACCAAAAATCCCCTCCTCTCTATAAAAGTCACCAGTGGTCAATAAACTTGCGTAGCTTGGCAGCACAAGAGCGGCCTAACTGATTGCATAATGGAATTTAAGCCACCGAAAAAGAAACCAAAACCAAAATATCTATAACATAATTGAGAATAAGAGCATTTTTCTTCGATACCACGCAAAACTTCTGGCCAAGTCATGCTCCAAAAGTTGTCAACGATCTGAGAAGCTAAAAAAAAATAAACACCAAACGGGGGAAAAGAACAAACCAAATCGAATTGAAAGGCAACGAATGTAATCAGATTTGTGATTCATTGGGAGATATTATATATAATGTACAGATAGATGTAGAAAATCAGAACTGTAGTTGGAAACAAACGAAGCTGATTGGAGGACAGGCGACAAAAAGCGAGGCGAATGAGTAACCGAGAGCTACTTGCAACTTAATTACCACGACTTCAGATCCTAGAAAGGCAATGAGGAACACATGTCCCCATGACGAGGCAACCTTGACAGGACAATGGCCGGGAAAATGTCACCGAGTGCTTACGACTTCATTTCATAGGCTCAAAATTAATGAAGAATAGCTTGTGAAAAGCCAAGAACAACGGTCTTAACTCACCTGAACGTGAGGAAGATGAAATTTATGAATTTTCTTTAGGATTCCCTATAATAGTATCGGCTATGAAACACCATTTACTGAAACAGCAACCGAAAAATGACTTTCATTTTAGTAGTTTTATTTCGGGTTGCCGAACAATAGAAGATAATGCCGCCAAAGGCTACGGACTTCGGAGATTCGTTGGGTTCGATCCGTGGGGAATTTGGATACGCACAAATCCGAGATCGAGGCCCAGACTCAGACGCAGACAAAGGCGAGTGCGTGTGAATGCGATATGAATCTATCTATCGGAGTTGGGCGCGCATCAATGGATTTTTAATAAATGGCCAAACGAAGCAATCATTATAAGCAGCATAAATGCTCGTGAATAGGAAATATATCCAATATGGTGGATGGTGGCTGCTGGGCTGCTGCCCCTCCTCCAATATTTTTCTCCCCTATTCCATGGTACACAAAATGGTGGCCAGCTATTTGCGACTCTGAGTTCTCGAGGGGATGGACGGAGTCCCTGACAGAAGCTACTTCCTCCTCCTCCAATTCCCAGCTCAATGAGCCAGTTCACAGGGGGATGAGGCAGGAAGTGCCCAGGAGGGTAATCGCAGTGGCTTCCCGGAAGGATATGGCTAAATAACCCATGTAAACTATAAAATGAATTTACTTAATCACTATGAAAATGGCATAAACACACAAACTTACTACTCGGAATAGTTGGCAAGATTCGAGAACATTTGTCACAAATTGTCACATGATTTATATCCAGGAGATAATTTAAGCTCAAGTAACAACTCATGAAATAGCTCCGTAACTTACAACGGTGTTAAAGGTCAATTACAATTAGCTATTGTTAATTTTAATATATTTTCTCAGTTCTAGCGCAAGCAATTACTTTGTAAACGTTTTTAATTGAAATAAGTTGGCAGCCTTACAATAAAGAAGAAAATAAAGCATCGATACCAAGTACATTTTCTGATTCGTCATCCCAGTGTGACCATCTTTTACAAAAATACCAATGTTACCATATTTGAAAAATGAGGTTAAAAACAAAGGTAAGGATGAGAAAAGAAAAACAAGGGTTAAGTAAAGGATACGTTAATAGGAATTAAAACAAAGCAGAATGAGCTTTTTAAATTTTGAACTTATTGGGTTCCTTTTATCAGATTTTAAACTTTCGTCGTATCTTATTCATTTTCTTGTCTAAAGATACTCTTATTGAAAGTTCATCTTAAGGAAATATTCTATTATAAGAATCCCCTTACCGAGACCGCCACTGTTTTCGCTTCGCAAAAAAAGGGTCTTCGATCAGCCTATGTACAGCTTATAGGCCAAAGTTGAGGCCTTGCACGTTCGAACCTCCCTGTTGCCAACCCCTCAAAGTACATGTTCCATACCATATGGTGGTACATAGCACTTCTTTCCCTATATATATTATTTATATGTTTCTGTGAGTTCGTGTGTACGGCCCTTGCTATTTTGGCGAATCATGTTTCGTTCATTTTTCAAAAGAAAAATGTTGCATGCGAGGCGACGCGACGCGCGGTGGCAGCTACTTTTACTGCCACTGCCAGTGCCAGTGCCTCGGATTTGGATTCGGTTTCGTATCTGCCCCCAGAGGTGAGGGGCTGAGGCTGAGGCTCAGTAGTCGTGGTCCCATTCCGTCCAGAAAAGGCGGCACGACCCAGTCTCAGGGGCCTCAGACGGGTTTGGGCCCCTCAAGCTCATGACTTCTCCACCCCCACGGTTAATAATAAAAGTTCGTGTGCGTGTCAAAGTTTGTTTGAAAGGCAGCCGCTCGGCTGGGAAATGGGAAACGAGAAACGAGGGGCGCGGTTCCAGGCAGATTAGCAGCAGCCATCGGCTTTGGCCTTTGTGGTGGGTGGTGTGGGTTGCTGCCACACAACTCAAGCGAAAAAGCTCATTTTTCTTTTAATTTTCGTGCCTGTCAACTCAAAATGCCTACATTCATTTATAAACGTCTCGAAAATACACGCACACCATGGCCAACAATATGTTTCAGTATGCCACCCAACCTCCCAAAAACTCAACCCCCACTGAATCCAGGATAATCCATTTTCGTTTATATTAGAGCAGCCGCCATCTTTTGGCAGGCCATTTTCTTTCGACTTATTTCGTTATTTCCCTTTGTTATCAGCAAATTTTCTTTTTGGGAATAAAAAGAGGATTTGACAAAACTATATAAAAAGGATAAAATTAATTTTACTAACAGTATATAATTATTTCAGGAATTGACGAAATTGAAAATTATTTCCAGTAGATATCTTAATTCCCTTATCTAACTCCAATTCGGAAGTGCAAATAGTCAACCAGACATTTAAAAATAAACAAATTTAATCCCTTAAATTAAGTTGTACTTTTATCTGGCGAAGGAGCGTGCCTTTTTATACAAATTACATATATCTTTTATTAAGTTTTAACAACTTCTTGTCTCCCAAGAAATCTCCTGCTTCTGTCAAGCTTATCTTTGGTTATTTTTGAAAGTGAAATTATATTATCCTAGATAAGATACGGACAGACCGCAGACCTCTTCCCACATGTAACCTGAACAAGATCATATATCCACTTGCTAAAACTAGAACTTACCAGTTTCGTTATCGATGGTAAAGGGTATTCCGTTCCATTCATTGGTAATGTCCTCAAGGGGGTTCTCATTGTCCTTGTCCTGTATGATGGAGAAACACACATTATAAAAGTGAACAAAGTAGTTATTGGTAGGTGGTTAGGTTGGTTATAACCCGCCCACTTTTTTATAACTGTTGGATAACCATCACCTCTTTATCTTTATTCAAATATTGTGAAATTCCGTATGTAAATCGTGGAGGGAACTTTGCTTTACTTTACCTTATCTTGCTGAAGCTCCTCCAGAGCTTTCAACTTCTCAATATCGTCGGCAGAGGCGCCAGTAGCCTCGTTATCGGCGTTCACATTGGAGTCCTTGGAACCGCTGGACTCCGACATCGAGGGATCCGAGGACTTGGCCTCATCCTCCAGCTTCGACTTGGCGGTAGAAGCTCCACTATTTCCGCTGGCATAGGAGGCATTGATGATCGCCTCCTGGTCCAAACTGAAGCCCAAATCCACATCCTGCTTGTACAGCACCTCAGCGATCTCACTCTCCTGCAAGCGAAAAGTTCCAGTCAATAAGGTAACACACTCGTATTTCAATGGATATAATATAGTTTTATCAATTGCCAGCACAAATTTCTAACCAGTATGTCCCTATGGATGAACACTCTCATATTCACTGATCCTTTTCAAGGATTGCTTTTCAGTCTATCAACAGATTCGCACTATATGTTTTATCTTGGTTGCGCTTTCAGTCTATCTGGTATTTTGTTTATAATATTCCCGATCTCAATTGTTCGCGACGTCATCCGCATTTGTTAGTTTCCACAGAGAGACTGAAGGCTCCAAGAGTCGGACGAGTCATAGTCCATATTGGGGACCTCGTCCGCTCTTCTTTGCTCTTCCTCACTTTACTTAATATGATAATGTCGATTTACATTTTGCCCCTGCTGATAAAGTGGTTCGGTCTATAGATAAAACTACGTCAGAGCGATATGGATAGCGAAGAACGGTGGGTACTCTATGATGTTGTTGCCTTACTGTTTATGATAAATAAATATAACTTAATTTTCGTAAATTAAAGTGTTAAAAGTCGTAAAAACAAGTCTTCATTTGACACATTTTATCTTCCTTTAAGTATTGTCTTAAGGGATGGTGTTCTTCAATATTATGAGAAGTGTTTAACTGGATTTGTTATGTAATGTATTAGGTGACTTAAAATAGAATTTAGTTGTTATAACTCCTTTCAAAAGAAAAATAAACTCTTAAGATTATCTTTATAAAAATATATCATTAAAGTTCCTTCATATCTTAATATCATATCAATTATAAAACTATAAAAGACTATACATTTTATTATAGTCCTTTATTTACACAGTCACCAAGCTACAAGCAACTTTGATTTATAGGAACCAGTTAATAACTTTGATCACCGATAGTGGAAACCTTTAAGAGTTATGATTAAACTTATAACAGCACTCTCTTAAGATATCACATTATGGCTTTTAAAAGATGCTATCATACTGCCTGTCAAGTTTCCAGTGATAAAGCTGTAAAGTGCGGAATAAAACATAAGAACAGGTGTACTATAGGTAGGCAAATAAATGCCCCTACATATACATTCTCTTATTTCACCATTCTTATCAAGCCCACACCATAACTCATAACCCAACGAGCGCTCCCTTAACCTGTGGAAACCTCTCGAAGAGTGCTCGCTCTTCGGACAGCTTTATGTGATCGATAATGTCGACGAATCTTATCAATGGAACACCACAGAGAGCCGGACCGTGGGCGCAAAGTTGGGTGAGGTATAGTATTTATAACGCTGATTCAAAAACGGGGGTTACGGATCTCGGGGGGGCCGGAGCACTCTCTTACGGCGTGCCTTGGGCCCCGGACTTGTTTACGCCGTAGCGAACGACCGACCGGATCTCTTATCGCCCGCCGCCTGCCTCACACTGTAAACAATATTCTGCGGCTATAAATTTTCACCTAAGAGCGCGGGCATACACTTGCCAAAAACTCGAAAGAGAATTGCAAATTCTAAATCGGAAATCAAAGTATTGCAGATCGTTTGTTGTTCGTTCGCCGATGAAGATGTTTGGCCGAATTCTGCCAATTCATGCTGGGGAAGAGAGTGACTAAGATGAGGAATTCGAGCTCAAATTATAGCGTTAATGATGCATTATTAACGCTGCTGGCCGAAACCACTTTAATCCTTTTCTTTTTTGGCCAAGTCAAGTCGGGTTTGCGAAAGGAAGAAGAAGGCGTTGTCGCCCACACATAAGCCCGGGTAAAACCGTTTGGTTTTCGAGAACAGGTAAATTCAGAGGTCTTCATAGTGAGGAATAATATTCTTTTGACTCAGGGATAATCACAGGATAATGGCCGACATTAGCAGCACAATTGCTGTTCTGTCAAAAGACTTTTGGATGTTTTAATTAAAATGTGTTTCCTCCATAATTCTTTGATTCTGTTTTTAAGGTTTTTGTTTCGTGTGACATTTTCCCGTAGCATGCATTTTCTTTCCCCATTTCTTTTTCGTTTTTTGGTCGCCCTTCTCGCGAGGCTTTCTTGGACTTTTCCACAGTGGCAACAAAAAGCAATCAATCATTGTGGCCACGCCTATCTCCTGGATTAGTCAGCAGAATATGGCGTCGGCATCATTGGTCTCTGCTGCCGTCTCCCTCGCTCTCTTCTGACCCCTGAGAACCATCCGAGGAATTAAGGGCCACTGTGTTGAGCCCAATCAATTGCAGCCGCGCCACCGCTGACAGCGACGTCGACTGAGCAGCTGGCGGAGCGGCGGCAGAGCCAATTCCCCAGGGAGCAAGTGCTCGTAAATACAGTAAGGCATCTACAACTTGAACTTATGTAAAATTACAAAATTTATGAGTATCACAAAACCAATATGAATAAAATATAAATATATTTTACATTTATTTTAAAGATGGTTATGATCTTTTATCCTTAATTATTATTAGTGGACCCAGAAAATTGAGAACAAAAAAGCCAGGATCAATTGTTTTAGATTTGAGAATTAGGCATCCTACCTATTCAAGAGTAAAAGTTCTTGAAATCAAGACGAAATACTCTAGTTTTTTTCGAATTATTATTATAACAAGCAACATAAAGATTTGAGTACATTTGAGGATCAATTGTTTTAGATTTGAGAATATTGCTTCTACTATATTCAAGAGAAAACGTTCTTGAATCAAGACCAAAATCCTCTCGAGTTTGTTTTTGGAGATTAATTATTATTAAAAAGCAATATAAAGATTTGAGTAAATTTGAGGATCAATTGTTTTAGATTTGAGAATTTGGCTTCGTACTATATTCAAGAGTAAGCGTTCTTGAAATCAAGACAAAAATATTCTCAAATTGGTTTATCGAGAATAATTAATATTAAAAATCATTATAAGATTTGAGTAAACCTTTTATCATAACTATTTTTTAATCATAGTTATCAACAATGGAGTTTCAGAATGCAACAAATAGATGCCCCACTGTACTTGAATGTGTGCTGCTGTGCGTTGCGCATGTTCGGTAAAAATGAGCAATTAAATTGAGCAGAGGAAAGAAGAGGGTTTCGGATCCCAACAAAAACCCAAAAACCGAATCCTCCCCTGCTGGCATTTCATTAATATTTTTTCCCCATTTCGGGGGGTTGTTCCATAACATGCACATAGAGGTGTGCGGGTATATAGCTATTTATGGCCGTTGATTGGAAATTTGCTTTTAATTAAACTTTAAAGCAGAGTTGAATGAAATTTTATTTTCTTTGGCGGGGCAACGAAAACAAAAGGGTCAACTAAGATATTTTCCCTCTGTTTTTAAAAGAAAGGTGCTTTTTTCTAAGTAAAATAAATTGTTCACCTATTCAAAAATTTCTTATCATTGTTATTAAATTGGACTTCTTACGGTGTAGCCAAGTTAAAGTTCTTATCGGTTAGGGTCGAAAATACGACCTTATCTTGTACTTATAGAATTTTGCGTAATACGTGACGGTTTAACAGGTTCGAGAGGCACCAGGAATATGTTTATATGTTAAAAGTTGGAATTCCTAAGAGATCCTTTATAAAAAGGAATAAAATGAGATGAGAGAGTTTAATGAACTTCAATACTTTCTACCAGGACCTTACGTTATAACCTTAACCTTGATCGATATGTATGGTCATATTTATGGGACAATTCTTATCGCTAGGGCCTGGGCCGGGGAAACTCTCTCCGTGACCTTGTAGTGTCACTTTTAGTGCTGAACTTTTAAATTCCGCAAACGACACGTGGGCCGCTCTCGAGACAACCATTTGAATGAGCGGCCGGACGGGCGACTGACGAATTCAAGCATTGATAAGTGGCGATAAGAGGCGGGAATTTTATACCTGCACTACAGAGTTCGTTTAGAACTGAGTAATGCTTTAATTCGGGCAGCAACATCTGATCCACGACAATCAATCAAGAAGTTTTATTGTTGCGCCCCCCAAGAAGCATCAAAATATTGACACTTGTAACCGTTTGTGGCGGCAATTAGTCCGCTTAACTGAGCCGATTTTTACCATTAACCTGACCACAGAACGCCGACGCATAATGTACAAAATGTTATAGCAAGATAAATGAGTTTCTGATCCTGCAGGGGCGGCAAATGATGAAAGTCGAGTGAAAGCAAAAGAAAGTAAGCGAGAGGAAGGTAAAGAACAGGGACGGACGAGAGAGTTTTAAAAAGGAAGGCAAGGAAGGGAAAGGCTCCGGTTAGCAAGAGTCATTAATAAAGCCTCGGCGAAAAGATTTTTCTGATGACACCTGAACTGACAGCGCAGCACGAACCGAGAGATCACTTCAGCATCGCATCTGTGGGATCAAATGCAAAGGCAAATACAAGATACAAAATCTACAAGATCGGAAAGAAGGGAGTTCGGAGATCTGAGATCGCAGAGCGGCTAGCAGCAAGTGTGGCGCATATTAATCATGAGCTCGTCAAGCCCTCAGAAGACTTTGCCGGATTGTGAATTGTATACCACCAACAAAGCCGACTTGTATCTGTATGTATACATACAACGCACTCGTATCTGAGGGATTGCTCAAGCCACGTTCTCAAGTGTCCTGTTTTTGCGGTTTGCGTTTGCAACAACCCCACAATGGTTAACTATCAGGCCTTAATAACAGTTCATTTGTGTCATCCAAACGGTTTTCCCTGCAATTATCAATTTCAATTCGAACTCAGCTCGGTTTCCCCTCCCTGTTCACCTTATAATCAATTTGACATATGAACTTTTTGCTCATTGAATAAACACATAAAAACATTATCTTCTTTTAAAATTTTATGTGAACTTAAATATTTTACCAACTTTTTGAAGAAATGTGGTTTTTAATATTTGTGTGAATTCTATTTTAGAATTTCGCTCACTAAACTATATTTTTTTTAAATTTGAACCTCTCTTTTTGAAAAGTGTATGGCATGGCACTTGGCAGAAGTTCGCGAACCATAATTAACGGTATTTAATTATGGAAATTAACCAACAAACTTGGTGGGAAACAAAACTTTAGGCAAACAAAAAAAAGAAAAGAAACACAAAATATATACGTAGAAACACTTATATCCAAATGCTTCTTCATTGCTTCTTTGGCTCAGGGTAATTAAGTGGGAAAATGCAACGTAATTACAGGCAAATTATTTTTCAATTTGCAGGCTTTACATATATTTCGTTTTTTTTTTCTTCTTTTTTGCCTACACTTTGCACTGCGGCCATGTGAATAGAAAGTTTATTCCCAGTAAACACAGATTAATGGCTAGATATAGGAAGTTGGAGACAGACCGCTAGGTAAATGTGCATATATTTGTACTCCTCGTTGAGACACATTTTGTTCGGCGATTGAAAATTGATTTCCGCTTGATTTGTTGTTGCTGAAAGGGCGATCCACACGATTCGGGTAAACGTATTCACTGTAAATCGGCATAACGCAGACTGAAACTTTCGTTGGGTTGCGCTCGGAATGTCTGGACTGCGGCTGATTAGCAGTTTCGAGGGGCTCATAAAAAATATATTTTTTTCTTTGATTAATTTCGATTGATAAAGTTTGTTTTGCACGAATTTCGAAAAGTTGAAACCAGCAACCAGCGACTGATAAGCCCTAGGCAACCCAAATCAAGTGGCAGGCAGACAACAAGTACAACCTTTGAAAGAGATTGCTTTATCAGCAATTGAAATTCCCAATCTACTATTGCGTTATCAAAATTAAATTTCGATTTAAATAGTAAGCATTTTGAAATTTCGATTGCAACGATGATTCGTATCGATTTAAAAGCTTTTGGGTTTGTAACTATGCTAGTGATAGGTTGGGTCTTTACTAAGCAGCTTTTGAGTCCAGGGTGAAAATTTAGTTTCCTTGGCAACAAATGTTGCTGGCGGTGAATTTGCTGACTGAGGTGAAGAGAGCCGGCTGAATGTGAAGGGAAATGCAAAAAGTGTGGTGTGTAAGAAATGCCGGCAAATCAGCTGTTTTTCCACTTTGGTTTTGTTTTCAAGTTTTCTTTGCCCACAGCCTTTACCACCCCCTTTTCACACGCACACTCGCACACAGATGCACTGAGATTAGAAATGCATTACAACAGTAAAAGTGACTTAATAATGGAAAACGAGATACATAGATTGAAAATAACTGAGATCTTATATCTTTTTATGACCCAATTGAAAAAAGGAAAATATTAATATGCCCAGAAATATAAAACATAAATTAAATAGATACTTATAGGGCAGGTCAATGTAAATAAATGCATTTCTAAAATCATATAAGCCATTATGTCATCAAGAATTTATATTCGTTATAAATCGTAGTATCTATTAAATGCATCGAAACTTCTTTAAACCCTATACCAAATACTATATACCGAAGTTCAACGAATCTTTCCGCTGCTTTTAGCGAGTTTTATTCCATTCTTCCGAATCTCAATCAAAATGCGAGACCGAGACCCCAAAAATAACACCCAACCAAAACAAAAAATAAATAAAAAAATCGCTGACCGTGTGTATATATATAAACGAATGAGTTAAAGCGAAACGTTAAAAGCTACAAAGCTTGGTAGATTCGCAATTAGTGGAAAGACAGCGAGGTAGACGACATTCAACAAAGTAGAGTTTTGAGTTTTTCGCTTCACCTGGTCGCCATAGTGTGTGTGATGAGGTCACACATACGCACTGTGGCGACCTCTCTCACCGGAGAGATAGAGATACAGGTGGAGTTTACTGATCTTTGGAGAGCGAAGGTGACACATCCACTTATTACACCTGTCCAAGATGGATGGTTCTTTGTGGGGGAACTGTGTACATGACAGCTTGCTATTCTTTCTTGTTACCATATTCGTTTATGGAATAATTATGGCGAGCAGCTGGAACTAGTTGCAATCACCAAACAAGAACTATTATAATCTATGGATTCAAATCTTGAAATACCCAGTAATTGCTAAGGTTTCTTTACAAGAAAATATATTACCAACAAATATATTTATATGAAAATATTCATAAGTTTTAAGCTTCTCAGTTCAGGAAATTTCATAAAGATGCAATTATAAGTATATATAACATAAGAATACCAACCAAGAACTATTATAATCTATGGAATCAGGTCTTGAAATATCTTCAATCTATCAATACTTGTTTAGTTTTCTTTACCAGAACATATATTACCAACAATGAAAGATTATATTATATATTATATATGAAAGATTTCATAAATTTAAACTTCTCATTTCAGGAAATCTTCACTCAGATACAACAATAAGTATAAAAGATGATCAAACAGAATCAAAGAAACAATTAATCATCCCCATCAAAGTTAAAGAACAAAGGCAAAAATAAAACATGAATCGCTATCGCTTCGAAGATTATGCAATGCGAATGCCGAATGCATCTAATTAGATCATATCAAAAGCACATACTTATGTCTTCTATATGCTGCCTGCCTGGCTCTCAAGAACATACAGTCGTCAGTCAGAGCAAAAAATAAAACCGTCATCGGCCGAAATGGAAAACATTCGTGACATGTTGGAACAACAAAAACGAATTGCAGGCAACCCAAGTGTACAACAACAAAGAGCTGAATAAATCGAAAATAACACCGAGTTAGTCATCTCGCTCCTGTCTCGGCCAAGTATAAATATTTATGCATATTTAAATTGCAATTTTGCAAAACGCACAACGCAGCACCAGAGTGTAAAAAAACAAATAATGAAATCTCCTGCCTGTATTGCCGCACATTTGTCGCCGACATTCAATTCGATTTCGTTAAAAATAAATAAAAATCGAGCACAAATCTGATTCATATCTATAAATTCGCATGCACATAGATGGCGATCGTAAAGCCATTAAAACGATTTAACAAATGAATGACCCCCTAAATGGAAAGTGCGTTTTTTTACGATCTAAATATACCTTTAATTCAAAGTCTGATTTATAAGCCCCTCGTTAGTATGCAGTCTCCTTTACAGATTTAATAAGCAATTAATTAATTACTTAATTGAATTTTAAATTTTCACAAAAATCCCCATTTTTGCCTTATATTAAATTATCTTATTTGTTTTTTGGCATCGTTGTTGTTTCGCAGTTAAATGGTTTTTGCGCATTCGAAGCGTTTAATGACCTAATTGCTGCTTGTTTTGTGTGTTTGCATATAATATGTGAACTTTAGGACCGAAAGACGGTGAAAGTTGTTGCGCACGGTTCGAAGAATTAAGCCAAACAAAAGATAAGTCTTTTCTTCTAAAAGATACTTCTTGAAGATTAATGGAAACAAATGGGAATTAGTAAATCAGCAAAGCAACATCTAATTTCCTATATCGATTTCCAATAATCTGTCAATTAAAGGAATCAGCATTCTTGTAAATCATGATAAAGCCTCGCAGATTGACAGTGTGTGAGTGGATAACCGTGGCAACAGTCATGCTGATGTGTAAACAAGTTAGGACCCTTATCTGCTGATAAGGCAACAAAGTGCCATACTCATTCGCAGGGTGACCAATCATGGCAGAAAGCCACATTTGAATATCGATTGGTTTTAGGGGAAACCTACAAACTATAATTATAAAGAAAGCTATCCAAAAAGACCAGTTAGAAATGGAGAGGAGGCCAGGGAAAGAACCCCAGAGCTGCACAAAGTAAGCGTAGACGGGAATGGGTCAAGCGATAGGTTCGCCAATCTTCATTAGCAATGCAAAATGCTTTTTTTATTGAGAAACACTGCTTGATAATGAGCACAACACACACCGAAGCACACTCTGCAGGTGGTGCCATTTGAGAGCCTTCTAATCAGTCAAATCAAAGTCATTCACAACTACACTCGGAAAAAACGAGGGACAGACGATGCGAATTTAATTAGAAACCCTGACCTAACTCATTGTTAAGGAAATAAAAATAAATATATACGAAAAGTTCTTAACCAACACAAGATCTTATATACTTTTCAGTTTAAATTAAACCAACCTTAGCTCAAAATACTTGAATTGGGTTTTTTGTTTTAGTGTTTTGGGGTTACCTCCTCGTCATCTCCGATTTCCACCTCGTTAGCAAAGGTGGCACTGCCGAAGGGCTCGTCGGTGGTCAGACCCTCCACCTCGCAGGCATTGGCCACTCCGCCAGTCAACTCGCCCTCGTAATCCTCTTCCTCTTCGTGTCCAAACAGTCGACCCAGATACAGGCTCTCCTCGCCATCCTCATCACTCCTTCCGGCCGAGTTATTCGTGACACTGCCCAGGTTCCTGGGATGTGGGGTGCTGTCGTTGAGGGCGGCATCGCTCAGGGGCGTGGCACTGCCGCCGGTGAAGCCATGGAGGAGTGCGGCCAAACTGAGATCCAAATGCGAACTATTCGGTGGCTGTTGCTGGCCATCCTTAAGAGGTAGATTTGCATAGGGACTGGCCTGCAGATTCAAATCATTGTAGTCATGGAGATCCGCTAGATTCTGCTCCCAAATGGAACGCTGATCCGGCAGCAAATGTGGCGACAGAAAGATGTCCATTTCTGGGGTTGGATGCAGCAACGTATGGTTCGTATTTCCAGCTGCCAACGAGGCGGTATCAATGTGAATCTCTCCCAATCCAGAGCCACCAGTTGGACCACCGGACGTGGGGGCACCACCTGTACCAACCACCACCGAACTGGCAGTGGCTCCAGCACTATTACTCTGCACATCCTGCAGAGCTGCCGTCTGGACACTACTATTCCCGGTGGTGTTGTGCAGATTCATCACAAAGGTGCTGCCATTGAAACTGGGGGGAAACTTGTATTCCCCCATTCCGTTTCCCACGCCTCCTAAAGCAGGGTCATCATCGAAGTTCAGAAGGTCCTCGATCCGGGGACTCAGTCCCTTTCGATTTCCATACGGGTTTTGATCCATATCCAGTCGATGGACCGAGCGTAGCATCTCCAGCTCCCATCCATCGCCATGGGTGCCCAGTTCCAGCTGCGAATCCCAGCGATGGAGCAGGTAATCCGGATTGTACTGCAGCAGACTCAAGGCCAAAGCCAGCTGCAGCATTTTCATGGCGTACGATTTTTTGTTTGAGATCATTGTTGTTGCCCGAAGAGGTCGCAGTCTATGAGAGAATGGGTGCGTGGGTGTCTTCTGAAGTCCGTAGACCGTATTTGTTCCCCCGCCCGCCTCCTCCTCCTCTGCAGCTGCTGTTGTTGGTGTTCTCCGTCCCGGACAACAGCTCTACGGCTGCGTCGTCCGGGATCTATGCGTTCAATGACGTCGCCTTGCCCCGCCTTCCTTCCGGCCTCCTCTGCGTTCCGAAATCTGCGCAAAACCAACTGAAAATTCGCAATTTCCACCGCCTTTCCCCGATTTTCCAATGCTCTTCGCTTTTAATTGATGACTGTCCTCGTGTTCTTTCTGTAAGCAAATCAAGATGTGACAACAAATAGAATGGAATTAGTAAGCATAACGATTTGTTAAGTATATTTAGTGTAATATGTATATGTGCTGTTGATGCATGGCCATATATGCGGTTTGAATGCTAAATGAAAATGCTTTTGTTTTCGAGTGGATCGGCCTTTGTGTTTGCCATTCGATTTTATAAAGCACTTAGCACGAGGAAATGCGCCAAAGAAAGTTTTATTTCCTGGGCGATATTATCTTGTGTTTAAGATTCCTAACACTTTGCTGGGAAGTCTGCTTATCTCCATTGTTTTCTAAGGAAATTATATATGAGTATGGACTACTGTCTTATAGTTATATAAATAAAGTATTCGTAAAGTATTAACAGAAACAATTTAATATTTTGTTTAATATTCTATTTTATTATTTACTGAAGAAACAAAAAAGAAAATTTAATAAATATATGATTATATCATAGTAAACTCATTTGAAGAAGGTTTCTTTAATTTTTGAATTAATAAAACCTCAATAGAGGTGCAGGAAACCAAAGTGGATAGCCTAGAAAGGCTGATGATGATGACCTTTAGCACTAGACTTTGGTTAGTTCAATATTCACGGACAATTAAGCGGGTCAAGAATGGAAACCGAAAATGGAATCGTCCGAGATTTGTTTATCCTTGTTTGCTATCCCAAATCAGTTTCATATCTACAACGCATTAAATATGCCCATCCTGTACACCACCCCCTTTCCAGGGTGGGTTAACAGACAAGAACCGCCCACCCAAAAAAGAGGAAGCGGAGTGGGAGGAGGAAGGAATGACCCAGACCCAGACGAAATGGCTTTGAACTTGAACTTGTTCAAGGTCTCTCGCGAGCGTTTGAAATGTGCGCAATGCCAAGTGAAACACCCAATTCAAGGACGGCCAAAATAATGTGTGAGATTTGTTAGAGGTCCGATATAAACTTTCTTTGTTTAAAGATAACAATTAATTTTGAATAAAAAAAAATTAAAAAACAAAACTTTGATTGGCTCAATTCTCAATGAAAAGGTGTGTGAAAGAGAGAGAGGGAGATGACGCATGCATTTGCATGCAAGAGGGGTTCTATGTGTGTGTGTGTGGGTGTATTGCAGTGCACTCACCTCAAATTTTTTTTGGATGATGAGAGCCGACTACAACGGTAAAAAAGCTGCGGCGCAGTAAATGTTCTCCTTGTTGTTGTTGCTTGATCTTCTTTTCTCCACAGCTGTTTCTTCTTCGCTGCACACACAATGGTGAATGATGGTTTATTGTTTACCGTTTCACTTTCTTGCAGCCCCTTATTTGTTTATGTTTCACTTTCTTTCTCCGATTTTTACTTTTAATTGCTGCAAAACACGCGTTTAATTTATTTTATAACTTAAGATTTCTATGTGCTTTATGGGCGTCCTTGAACTTTCTCTTGGTCAAGTTATTTGCAATTAATTGCCATTAATTATTTATAACAATTGGCATTTAATATATGACAGCTTCTTTTTCGCCGTCTGCTACGCACTTTCGTGTGTGTGTGTGTGCGTCGTGTTTGGCGTGGTGAAATCGTCACTTTTTTAACCCTAAAATGGTACCTAATTATTTTTATTGCGGTTTTGGGCTACTAATATTAAATTAATATCATTAAAAGCCATTAGAACTATATCATAAGAAAGTTATTTGTTATCCGAAATATGTAAAACGTCATTCGTTTTACTTTATTATTCATGTGAGATTATACTTTTGGGGACTTCATTTAAAAAGTTGTATTAAAAAAGCAATTTCAAGACCACACAGTAATAAAAATAAGCAAACCCATCAAGGGTTAATACAAAAATATTTTCGCTTCGGTTGTTGTTATTGCACTGCCTAATATTTTCGTGTGTTTTGCTTGCACATCGTTTTTTATTCCTTTGTTTGCTTTTATCGTCCCTTTCTCGTCTCTCGCCTCTCTCTCTGTCTGACTCACACACCAAAAACAAAAAGGCACGCACACAGGTTGAAGCATAAAAACTGCTGTTTTTTCTTGCCAATTCCAATTCCGCTTGTGCTCACAATTAATGCAATTAATTAAATGCAAAGTGATTTAATTTTTACGGAGAAGAAAATCACACACGGAGCAGACGGAGGAGAGACGGAGAGCAAAACAAATTGTGAAACCGCGAGGTGGAAACTTCGAGAACGAGCGGAGAATAACCGGCAACAGCATTTCAACCTTCGCTCTGCACTTTGCATCAACAAATTATTTATCAAATTGCTGCTTTTTGTTCTTTATTTTACATGATTTTTTTCGATTGCAGTCTGTCAGCTGAGCGCGAGAGAGAGAGAGTGAGAGAGGGAGACTGCGCGCGTGAGCGAGAGGGGCCGATTGCTGAATAACTGTTGTTGCTAGCCTGTTGGTCGTTGTTGTTCAACTTTAACCCACCACCGCCGCAATGAATTGCATTTATTCAGTGGGGCATGCAACATTTTACGCGTAGTTTAAGTCGCAACTAAGATTCTTTCATTTGTTGTTCCGGCACAAACACACAGACAGGCAGGCAGACACCAGCACGCACACACATAAACACTTTCAAGCGGCGTGTACTTCGCACTTTTCGCATCTTCGTTCACTGTTATTTGGCAAATTAGCGCCGCGTCCGCTTTGCTGCTCTCTTTCGGCAGCAGCCGTACCTACGTGGTGGCTTAAAACGTGTTTGTTTGTCAACTTTTGGCAATTTCTCCGCCGTCGATATCGCTCGCGATTTTTTGCTCCCAAACAGAAACGTCTGTTCAGCGAAGTCTGTGCTTTCGCAGTATTTTCGTGGTCACACCGGATAAGTCTAAGGTATGGAAATTCACCACAGCCCAAAGCTCTGTATGTAGTGTGACCAAGCGCGACCAGCTCGATTTCCCCCCTGTGGTGGATTTCGCTGGGTAAACAGCTTTTGAACTTAGTGCGAAAATGTAAAATGTAACTTAACTATTTACCTGTTATTTGGGATGGCATATCTGTTTTTTTGATGTCGTATATATAAGGAAGAATTAATATAAGTCAGCATTTTAACTTATTTATAATAAGAAGCATAACAATTTGCTTTTGAATGACGCCAAAGGTATAACCGCACATATGTAGATAAGATGTAAATTTACAGGCTTTGGACACGTGTCCATTCAAATTTTTCAATTTGCATAATGATTAAAGGGTACCCCTACTAAATTGATCATTTTCAAAGTCAACAAAGAACAAATTCTATAATAACACTTAATAGATTCTCATTAAATATACTAGAAGATATACATGATAAATTGATATAATTAATAATACAATAGTGTACCCATCAAAATGTAGGATTCATAAACAAATACAGAAATTCAATTTACCTAACATCAAATTCAATTAAGATTGATGGGTGTTATTTCGAGATATAATACGTCCTGAAAAAGATCTTTAATGCCTGACCTGGGACCATTTGTGCTGGCTGTTCGATGTAGTAATCAAACCCATCCCCGACTTTACTTACCAGAGTGGTAAAATGGAAGCCACCGCGCCAAATGTTATTCTTGGCGTTACCCGGGGTCGTCGATTGCGGGGTGGGCGGGGTCTCCAGAGAGGCTGGCGTGGGCGTGGTCAGAACAGCGGGCGTGGAAGCCACAGTGGGTTTTATCAACTTGGTCAATTTCGAGGGCGGTCCAATAGGCACCCGTACGGTAACGGTGACCTTCTTGGGATTCAGTTGTAACTGGGTCTGATGGTAGGTATCCTCGACGTCCTTGGCCGGGGACAGGGATTGCAGCCGGGGTAGGTCCTCCAGGTCGATCATGATTGCTTATCAACCGGCACAAATGGTGATGAGTCAATATGTCAACTGGAACGAAAGTGAATGCCGAATATACAGATAAGGATGGGTCGATTTTTATGGCCTGGACTCGCAAGAAGTGCGCTTTTTCGAAAGGGAGGAACAGCACCGAATCGAAATTTTCTTAATGGATACAACAAATTTTTGCCAATGCAGTTAGTGCGGAGTCTGAATTATTTTTGTAACTTAAAACTGCAATTGCAACTATTTTTAAAAGTGATAACTAAAAGTCTGATAATTTATCAAGAACAAATTTACCTTAAACATTTTAAAGGGTGTAAGAATTATAGTTTTCTCTTCATATAATCATATTTTACGCTTTCTTTAATAACATTTAGTTCACAAGTATTGCTAAACTAAGTCAAATTAGATAATATTAATAGTTCGTTTAAATCAGTCGTAGTCGTTACTACCGTTTAATTAGCTAACATTTTTATAATTCCTCCGAAAATGTCACTAATTTCGATCATTTTATCAGGCTTTCACTGTAACACCGCTATAAATACTGATAAGCGAGCTTCGATTGGCGGAATTCTAAATAGAGGTATAGCACACTTAAATGGATTGTTTATTTCTTGATTGCGTTTTGGCATTTATAAGAAAGATTACACATATTCACATGAAAGCAGACGTAGATAAGTACAGTGGATGCCCAACAACAATAACAGCAACGAACAGAAAAAGATAACCATGCGAAATCGGCCTTTATTATCTATCACTAGATATGGAAACCTAGTATTGAATATCAGTAATCATAATGGGTTCTCCTGTACGGGACTTATCACTGTACAGTGGGCCCTGCCTTGAGAGCATTGAAATTTCATCAGCCAATGTTTGAACACAGGATTTTCCGATTAGATTGCGACCATAAATGAATCATAAAACAAAAGTTGTAAAGTAAGTTGTAAATTGTGGGAACCTGTCGTGAGTCGAAGTTCTGAAAATGATTGATAAGACGGGGATTTTAGGCATTGGAGAATTTACTTTCTTTTATAATCATTAGTCAATAAACCAAAATTGAGTCCCTGACATTAATGAGTTCAATTTAAAAGCTTATAAAAAACGTACATCAATACTTTTTTTTATTTAGTTCAAAACAATACGACATTATAGTCATAATTGCATTATTTATTTACCTAACTGTTCTTTCTGTAATATTTTGACCTTTGACTATCTGATTCTCAATACTCCTTGAACCTCTATCATATAAATCTTTAAGGCCGTCGTTCTCTGTTTTACAACTTGATATCTGTTAACTTATTAAACTGACAAGCCTGTAACACGTGTGCCTAACTATATGTTTTACTACTCAAGTATTTCCACTTTTAAATAAGTCCCCCAGAAGTTAAGAAAACTACAAGCACAACTTAGCCAATCAACATCCAAGCCAAAACGTATTAATAGTAGTTTAAACAGTACTAGGTTAAATGGAATTATAGCTAAATTTATGGCTTCTGGGAATCCCGCATTACCGCCTTGAATAATGGTCAAAGTTAACAATTCGGAAACGCTGTGATCTCTGGCTGGTTGCCATGACTCAACCAACCGAACGTGCGAAAAAATAAAACAAGTACCCTGGCAAGTACAAATCAAGTGGTAACGGAAAAATTCGACGGCTCAGAGCTATACTGTTTTTGAAGATGAGGTACTTGACAAGAAGCGGGCGAGAGAAAACAATAAAAAAAAGGGGAAAAACGGTGGCTGGGTACAAAAAGTCTGGTAACAAAAGTCTGGCTAAATAATAACTGGAAATGAAAGTTGTAAGATACAAAGTGCGTTTTAGAACTGAGTATTTTTGGTATCGAAATGTTTTAATCCAAGCTTACAAAGAAGAGTTTTGGAAATTGTTACAGAATTATTGATAGTGGGGTAAATAATACCCAACAATTCTTAATCAAGCTACCATTATTAGAGAAAATGCTTGTAGTATAATTCCAATTAAAAAATTTAAATGATTTATAGTAACAAGTTAATTGAGTTGTCAAGTGGCTGTGATATAAGATAGTTATCAATTGTATTCAATCAATATAGTCAGATTGACTCAAGTGTATCGGATATTTAGCTAAATTTAAATCCATGTAAGTATATTGTAGACTTTGGACCTGTGCCAAGATATATACTAGAACAAATATCTTTTACAGCTCCAAATTATGCAAATCATCCTGGTCCAGGTTTTTATATTTATAAATAGTGAAATCACAACGCAAACTTGGTAAATATCGAACGGTTTTACCCCGAATCGAAGTCAACATTGCAAATCTGTTCGGATCGAGAAAATAAAAACAAACCAGTTTTTTAAGGCTTTTTTATGGGTACACTCTAACAACAAAGAAGATCAGCTTTCCGATTCAGTTAGTCGTAGATCAAAGAAATCAAAGAAAAATTACATCGAAATTGGGATAGACATCATAAGAAATTTGAAAATATACGATCTTACAAATTAAAATTTGTTATGATAAAGTTTTTTAAATGATTATGGTTAAGTAAACACTTTCCTGGATTTTATGAAATTTAAATTATTTTTACTAAATTCTTTCGTTGAACAATAAATTCTCAATATCCCTAGAAAAGCTTTCTTTGTTTTCAAGTACTGTTCTCAAACAAAGCTAGAGTATTGACAATATCGTTAGGTGTAAGTCAATTTTCCCGTCTCGATTTTAATAAATACCCCCTTGTTGTTGCTTTCTCCACCGACTGAGGCTGTCGTTTGATGCCTTGACGCAGTTTATAATTTAAATCAACGCTGGGCATAATTAAAACTCGGGAAAAATGCGAGAAAAAATGTGAGAAAAAATCTAAAAACAAATAATCAAAGTTCAAAACAAGCCTCAGTTCGGCCGATATCGAGTATTCTTTGCCCGAACACACAGTACATATTGATTTTAGCAATTACCTGAGAAAGACGCGTCAACAGGTGAGTGAAAGAGGGAGAGGGGGAGAGAGTGGGGGTCGAAGAAAGAGATGGGGAGAGACACCAAGTCCGTGTCTAGGGATCGTCATGCAGTTTGACTTTTTAATTCGCGTGGGGGGCTATAATAATAACAAGCTAACGAAAATGTCGTGACAAAGTCTTTAGAAGCTACCGCACATAATAACAGATTGGGCCACTCAATTGGGGGCTTAGTTACTATTTGGTATATGTTTTTTTTGGTAAACACTTTTGTATTATGGCTGGGGGTCCCTCAAGCGTAACTCAGTCACTTGATTGTTTCCAATATTATTAATTGTTGGAGAGCTTGGTGAACTTTCATTATCATTATCATTATCATTAGGAAAACACACACACAGTCAAGCAATTAATGTAAATATTTATACATAGCACTCGGTTTTTTTTCCTTTATTGTTGAAGAGCAATCCATGAAGAGAGCCTAAGAGAGAACGAACACTGATGACCACATGCCGGTAAATTTATGCGAAATATTTTGTTTGTGCGCAAAATTTCCACAGAAATGTATATATTGTATAAACTACTATTAGCAATGTGGAAGAGCGAGAGAGAAGGAGGAGGTTCTATCCAAAAGTTTACTATTAAATTGAACTTGTTGATTAGGTCGAATGGCTAGAATGCCAAAACACAGATACACACGCACACTGGGGCAAACACGCGCACTCACACTCACACACCAGGAAGTCATTTCCCCAAGGGGAGGTGGACTGGGGGGGTAAAATTAACTCGACGGGCTTAACGACGCAATTGTTGTGCCCCTCCAACTGTCCAGCATTAAATGTAATTATTTCGCACCCGTAACTTTATTTTATTTAACTAACTTCTCTTTTACCTAGGCTTTAAACCTTTTGGTTATTGTGGTTTTGCTTTAAGGCTATTTTGTTTAGCCCGTTGTTGTTTTTAAACACAGATATTTTGGCGCGCCACGCTCGAAACACTTGTTATTTTAGCTGCTGAAGATAGCTACGTCAGATATTACGTATACGACGTGTGGTACACTTAAGAGCATCCAAAACATCAGCTGGTTGGGGGGTCACAAAGAGAGGGGGCGAGGGCGGTACGAAAAGT